TTCCTCCAGCTGCACACAGTCGGCCAAATTAATGAAATCCTCCCAGGTGTTCTTGCTGCTATCATAGCCCAGCCATTTGACATAGAAAACGGGCTCGTAGTGCAGCACCTCAACACGTTCAATGCGCTCCACAATATACTCGCCCTTTGGCTTCATAATGGGCTGACCATTGTTATCCTTTGCGCGCTTTAAAGCGGGCGATGGCTCCACATTTTGAATGCCGCTTCTGGAACTAAGTCGTCGCTTTAGCATATTTGGGGGCGTGGCAACAGCTGCAGCTGGGTTGCGATGTGCGGCAATAGACGGGGGCGGTGCAGCATCCTGTTCGTCACAGCCCAAAACGCTGCCATAGCCGCTGCTGTGACTGGGACTCAGCGAGCTTTGGCTGTAGCTGCGCGTAGTACGCGTATATTGCGCAAATAAATGGTTATGGGACAGCTCCAGTCGGTTACTTCCGATGCGTTGTCGCCGGCGATTGAGCAGCTGGCGCTGCTTGCGATCGTATGCATTACGGTGCTGCTTGGAGTGCAAAAGTTTTTGGATTTTCTTTTCGCTTAAGCGTTCTGCAAATGATATTTTGGTTTTGGTTTTTTTTTTTTTATTTAACGCGCGTCGTTAGGTAAACGAAAAACGAAAAAAGAAGAAAAAAATGGACTGAATTAATTAAATTGCTGGATTATCGAAATCAAAGAAATTAAATTTTTGCAAAGCTCTAAGAAACTAATCTTACGCAAACAAGAGAAACAAGTCGTGATACCAAGAAGTATATAGAGAAGAAAAAACTATTATATTTTCTTCATTTTAACGAATAGCGACAGTTAATGATCAAATCCAAACTACTAATGCGACGACACAGTGCGTGTGTTGTATTTGTTGGGGGACTAATCCAGCAATTTAAGTCATTATTTTAATTATATTTCAATCATTTACAGAACGCTCAGAACATTGATCCAAAACAATACGAAACTTAAGACTACGCGTTTTGTACAGCAAAAGTAAAAACAAATAATATTTTAAAATGATATGGAGAAAACAAACAAAACTTAGAATATATAATTTCAATTCTTTCGTGACAAGTTCCGAGTTTCACATTCAAAATTCCGAACATGTAACATCGAGCTTACAAATTTAATATATGTTATTTATATATTTAAAAGAATGTGTATATTAATAGATTAAATTGCAAATCATTTAACAGCAAATGTTATTATATTTATTGTTGTAAGAAAAACGATTCGTATAACGAATTTAAAATGCCGGAACTATAATTGTTTCTTTTACATAGGACAAGACAATTCAATTAAAATTCTTTGGAAAACAATAAATGCAAAAATGTTCAAAATTCACGAAAGTCACTTTCTCAATTTTCTTCGCGGAAATGAAAACTGGAACAGGCCTTTTTTGTGCGCGTTGTGCCGTCGTCAGCATTTTGTTAAGGTTTGTTTAGTAATTTAATTGATACAGCAAGGAAAATTGAAGTTTATTGATTATAAAATGGAATAATCTTTGCCTAAAGCAACAAGCCTAAGCTTATAAACTAAATATAACAATGAGCAGACTGAAATGACACTCTACAGCGAACATATATTCAAATATTAGAAATAATCGATGTTTGTTAAGCTTTGCTCTTTTTTAAATTAATTTTTTTTTATTTTTATCATAATTTATTATTATTAATCCAATATTGAGTCTCATTTCAGCCTTATTGCAGCAGTTCAAAAGTCACTCACCGAGCTTAATTGTAATGTTTCGCTCCAATTCATTTTTAAAGCGGACAGTCTGCACGCCGGAGATGGCTTTGACAACCGTGGATTTGCCGTGCGCTACATGGCCGATTGTGCCAATGTTGATGGTAGCTTGGCGCGAGATCACCTCAGGCGACAGGGGCGTCAAGTTGCTGATTTCCTGCAAGGAAAATATACAAATAATAAATGTTAAAGCTAAGTTAGTGATTTTGTATAAACACGCCCAAAAACCCCCTAAGACACACACAAGTGTACACACAACACGCACACACAGAACATACATACATACGCATTTATGTGGCATGAGTGTGCGTACAAAAAGCCGTACATTTTGAGGTTAGAATCGACTGTGTATTGCATCAGATATTGTAGCAACAGTTGAGCCGCATTTATTAATTGCATTCTATTTCGCTGACATTTCCAAACATATTGAAAACATATGCCAAATAACGCGTATAGTGAAAAAGCCCAACATTGCTGGCCAAACATAGCAGCAACGCCACGTGCTGCATTCTTTTGAGGTCGCTTCGCACGGCCAACGAGTAACAACAGAGATTGTTGTAAATACGTTGGCAAAGTTTGTTAAATGCATTTTAATTAATCTTAAAATCAATGAATTCACTTTTTCATATAGAAATGGCCGCTTAGTGACAACGCTCCCCGCTGCTTCAGGATGCAGCGTCTAAATAGACGGCAAAGACGCGTACATTGCCATCGTTTCGGAGGTGGTATTTTCGGCGCATATTTTTGCACACTCACCAAATTGCTAAGGTCCTGCTTTTGCAAATTTGTGTTCACATTGACTTGAGCTTCAGCCGTGGCCATGTTTTTAATATTTTTAAAAACGCTTTTTATATAAAATTAAAAAATGAATTGGCCAGCTCGTTTACACCTCGACATTAAATATTGTCCGCGCGTGTTGTAAAGGACCGAAAATGCCTTGTAATCTATTGAGTGTTGTTAATCGGCTGAAGCTAACCAAATTCTTTTGGTTCCGGAACCAGTTCCAATTTCTTCAAGTAAATATTTAATTCATATGTCGTTGTGGATGACGTTGAAATCCTAACTTTGACTGAAATTAACCCAACGTTTCAAACAAAGCAATAGCAAATTTTAATGACATATTCCCCCATATCTCGATAATCGCTTGCGAAACAATCAAGATGCAACCCTGATGGGACTGTATATTTGCGATTGCAACATTCGGCCACACTTAGAGCAGAATTCGCAAACGCAGTGAACGGCGCGCATAAAGTGTCTATTAATTCGGCTTCTGCTCAACTGTACTAGATAAACTAATTGCCATTTGCAATAACATCATCAGCTAACCTTTTATCTTAATCGCCGTTCCATTTTAAACAACAATACCAGCATCATGTCGAGCGTGCCAAAGAGACAGAAGTTGGATGCTGTCGGGGACGGAAATACATCTGCCGGTCCCAACGAGGAAGAGTCGGAGGCGCTGGAACAAATCGATGCCTGTCAAAACGAGATTGACGCGTTAAATGAGAAAGCCAGCGAGGAGATACTGAAAGTAGAGCAGAAATATAACAAACTACGTAAACCGTGCTACGAAAAACGGAGCGAGCTCGTCAAACGGATCCCCAACTTCTGGGTGACTTCTGTGAGTATATTTGCACATATATGTAGAAAACCGGGGGCATCTTTATCTGTGAGCATGATTTGCATGTTTAGCATTTGTAACTTTGAAATATCTTTGTAAAGACGTTTTTTAAGTGGCTGAAATGCTTGCATAGCATTGTTAAATCAAAAAAACATTAATTGATTTTGTGTCTCTACTACATGTGCATGAAAAATTTCTCTATTCGAGGAACTTTTTCGTTTGTTCTTTTTCATCTTAGTCTTCTATGCATGCCGCCGCCACCGGTCGCACCGCTCTTTTTTGTCTGTGTATGTGTATGCGCTCGTGTGCATGTGAGTGCCAATGTATCGATAAATGCTGCAGGCGCAAAGCTTTCGCACTATGTTATAAAATTAATCGGCCTTTTTAAAATGATTTTAAGCATGTTTATTTTGTAAATTTACTAACAGCGTTGATTTGATTATAAATATACATATTTAAATTTTGTACACGACGCTGTTGTGCATCACTATCGATTGTACAATTGCGGATATATCACTCAGATTGTTTAGTTAGTTTTAGTTTTTACTCCCGGTTGCCTTCGATTATGTGGTAAAGCCTCTAATTTGAGTTAAATTTTTTAGTTCATCAACCACCCGCAAGTATCAGGCATTCTGGACGAAGAAGAGGAAGAGTGTTTGCATGCGCTAAACAAATTGGAGGTTGAGGAATTCGAAGACATAAAATCTGGATACCGCATAAATTTCCACTTCGATGAAAATCCATATTTTGAAAACAAGATTCTCACCAAAGAGTTTCATTTGAATTCAGCGGGTAAGTTGTCTTGAAAATATAACTGTTGTTTCTATATCCTAGTAATGTATTAAAATCATTTAGCTGCCTCCGAGAATGGTGATTGGCCCGCGTCAACTAGCACGCCCATTCAATGGAAGGAAGGGAAGAATTTACTTAAACAGTTGCTAACAAAACCTTATGGCAACAAGAAGAAAAGGAATTCCGATTATAAGACATTCTTTGATTGGTTTTCGGACAATGCTGACCCCGTCAACGACGAGATTGCTGAACTGATAAAGGATGATCTTTGGCCAAATCCACTGCAGTATTATCTCGTACCTGATATTGAGGTGGAACCCGAAGAAGAAGATGAAAACGACGACAACGAAGAGGAAACATTTGAGGATGATGATGGAGAAGATGAGGGCGATGAAGACCTCGACGATGAAGGTTAGCTTAACCTGGAATTATATTTTAGGAGTCGTCTATCATGTTTTTTTTTATTATTGCAGATGACAAGTAAAACCTTCAATCAATATGTGCGCAATTTGAATATTTTAACTGATTTCCCAATGTGCTAACCACTTATAACTATTATTTTCCGCATGGTTATGTCTGGACGGGATTATAAAAAAGCTAACATTATTTCAAATGTTGCGTGACAATTGCAAAAACACATTTTTAGGCAGTTACACAGTTATGTTATAAGTAAAATCAATATGTATTTCCGAAAAACCCATCTACAAAACATCAGTTTTTTAAAATACGAATAAAGACGTGAATCTGAAAATCGATAGCATTATTGAGAGTATCCCAGCGATATATTTGGGATATCGCAATATTTATGCCGCCCTGGTAAGTGAATTGGCGCGGTGGCAGCTCTAGCAAGGCTTAGTCGAATCAACCCTGTACGGCGCAGCTGCGATTTTTAGGTGAAAAATTCTGTGCAAGTAATAATGGCCTCCGTTAACAAATTAGCACTTTTGGTAGGTTTTTGACAATATATATAAAATAAACTTTGTTTTAGAATTGCTAAAGCGGTAAAAAAAATGTAATGTTTGTGTTTATAATGCTAGCAATGATAGCAAAACAAAACAATTATCTAACGCGGATTTGTTGGTTATGTAATTTGCAATTTTAACCAATAAACACAGTTTGATTGCGATTTAAAGAGTTTATGTATAATATTGATATACATTCCATTCTTGCAGAGCCGCACCCTCAGCTCCGCTGCTTCGCAGCAGGTGGTCAAGCCACCAATCCAGTTGTTCGGACTGGAGGGCCGTTATGCCACTGCATTGTATTCGGCTGCCACGAAAATGAACCAGTTGGATAAGGTGGAAAAGGATTTGATCGCTCTGCAATCTACCATTAAAGGCGACAAGAAGCTGCACGAACAAGTGACCAGCCCCATCATCAATAAGAAAGTTATGGCTACTGCATTGCAAGAGGCTTCTACCAAGCTGAGCTTTGCACCAGCCACATCCAATTTGTTGGGTCTTTTGGCTAACAATGGACGCTTGAAGAAGCTGGATACGGTTATCAATGCCTTCAAGACCATTATGGCTGCCCACCGCGGTGAGGTTGTCTGCGAAGTGGTGTCCGCCAAGCCGCTGGATGCTGGCCAAAACAAGCAATTGGAGGGCGCTCTCAAGGTAAATACTCTCAATTGTTAAATGGTTGTCAAATTGAACTGTTTTGGTTTGCTTTTTTTTTATTTTTCAGTCCTTCCTGCAGCCAAACCAGTCGCTGAAGATAACATCTCGCGTGGATCCCAGCATTATAGGTGGACTAATTGTCTCCATTGGCGACAAGTATGTCGACATGAGCATTGCCACCAAAGTGAAACTATACACAGATGTCATTCAGACCGCTGCCTAAGTTTAAGGATTTACTGTTGATTTTGCGTGGCGTGTAATAGCGAATAAAACTCTTGGGGATAGCTTCAAACGTTTCCAGCTATTATTAGACATTTCAATTTAATAACTGTTTCAAGTGCAATCAAACTATTAGTAATATGTACAAGACAAATGGTTAAGAGCTTGTCACTGACGATGCCGGCTTCAAGATACTATTTTTACTCGATTTTTGCCTTTTGGGAGTAATTGCCTGTTCAGACTGTCCATCAGCTGGCCTCCGCTGGTCATGGCCTTGTGCGCTGTCACCAACTTTGACCCCAAAACTAACCGTTTTATCCCGGCATCCGAAATCGGAATACAGGTCAGCTATTTTCTGCTGCAGGCCCATACACCAGTCGTCTTGGCGGGCAATCTTGTTTTCCAGTTCGTAAATGCGCTGTTGCTGCTGTTTGATTATTGCGCTCAACTCTTGGCGCATCTTGCTCGCACATTCAGCACTGCAGGGCGATTGATCTGGGAGTATCAATTGTTCCGGACAACCGGGTAGTTCGACCGGTGCAAACTTTGTCTTTGAACATTGCTCGCATTTGCATGGACACTTATCGGTGGGATGATTCTGACTTCGGCCCAGCAGTAAGACATCCGTGCAGTTGCGCAAAGTGCCAATGTCCCCACATTCCTCATTGCTTTTCTCCAGCTTCTGCAGCTCCTCCTCATTGTGCATGGGTGTGCGCAGCACAGTTACTTGGGTCTCATCGATGTCGGGAAACCTCGCACCGCAATCCTTATAGGATGATTCTCGTACATAGATTTCGTCATCCAAATCATCAACCATCTCGGCTTGATTTTCTCCGTTTTCAGCATCGGGGCTCTTGCCGCAATACGGGGGAAGCGTGGCGCCCTGCAGGAGTAGCACATGTAGCGATGGACGACTCGGACTAGGAGATGCGGCCAGCGTCTCATGAACCTCCTTCCCGTACTTCTCCTTAATGAGTGCTGCCTGCTTCTGAGTACGTTCCACAAACTGTGGTATGTGCTCAATGCAGACACAGCAGCATTTCAGTATACTTTCCACGGATGTTCCGAAGGCGGCCATGCTCTGCTGCCAGATGCGCGCCTCCTTGATGTTTTTGGGATAATGACATACGCGGTCAGCGACATCCTCAGCGATTTCAATGCCGCAGACGACACAGCGACGGCTCATTGGAACGGTTTAATTTTTACTTAAAATTCGTCAAATATATTGAATTTTTTTGGCTTGGTAGTTTTTTGAAATTTTATGGTAACTGTGATTTCGTCTAGACATTCGTGTTGGGGACACATTCAAACAGTGCGATTTACGCCCTCACTCATTTTGTCTTGTTGCTGGACATTGCTGGTAGAATTCGCCGTGTTGGGTTCGGGCCGGTTCGAATGAGTGGCATCCTGCTGTTCCTTGTAGCGATGCCCGCACTCATTCGAGGCGTTGCAGGAGCTTTCCTGCCCTGGAGCTCCTTTAGTTTAGCCTGAATGGACTGCTGCAGTTGCCGCTGTTGGGTCAATAGGCGTTCGAGCTCATCCAAGCGTATTTCTTGCTCCTTGCTGGTCCCAGTTGCTTCTGCATTATGTTCGACCACCTGCTGAGCCAGCTTTGCCAAAAGAGATTTGTTTTCTTCACGCTCAAAACATGGAAATTTCTCGGGCTGAGCTATGCCCAAAAGTAACACTTCCGTGGAGTTCTGATCGGAAAGTCCATTTGGGTCATTTGTTGGTTCAGCTAGCGCTCGACAGACTGTATAATTGGGCTCATCAATGTCTGGGAAGACAGCTCCTTCTCGCGTCAAGTCCGATTCCAGCACACAAATTTCCGAGCTATTAGATGGTTGTGCTCTAAAACTCGTTTTATTACAGTACGTGGGCAACATGGAGCCACCCATGATTAGCACACTGACTGGCGGTGAGCTTGGCATGTCCGTCGTTGGTTTCCGGTTCTGTTGAAACTTGTACGGCTGCAAGTTATGGTTCGGGATTGTTGAGCTCATCGGAGCTGTTTCGACTTTGCGATCATTCCGCGACGAAGTGTTGTCAATACAATTCTGGGGGCAACAAATACATTTATCTTCCTGTGCTGCTGGCACTTGATTAAACTTCTGGGATGGACATTGCATTGCCTGATCGCGAACTCTAGAAGTCAGACAGCATTGGCATTGTCGGTTTTGCTGCGACCTTTGTCGCTGTTGTTGTTTTTGTAGTTGTTGTTGTAGTTGTTGTTGTATATGTTGTTTGTGTTTCTGCAGTGCATCCAGATTGTTACATACGTTAACGGGAAACCCGCTTGAACCGTCTCTTGAGGAATCGAACGATTGCCCGGCAGGCCAAGCCATTCGTTGAGGATTAAGCATTGGCTTTTTGGCTGTCAAGGCTCTTGGACAACTAGATCCACATATGCATGAAGGTGCTACTGCACTGCTACTCGTGGCAATTGGATGTTTCCAAACAGCTCTTTTGGTCTCAAAAGCTTGTTTTCCCGCGTTTATTGAGTCGATAGTCTCACAAGAGGATCCACACACGCACTGATTGTTCTTTCGAGAGGCATATGTCTCATTGCCAGAAGTTCGTCTGGTAGCCCAGGGACTGTCTAGCATGTCCTCTTCCCTCGGATTTGTGGCCGCCACGTTATTTACTTTGCTCGGGAGCCCCGGATGGATATTGAAAATCGCAGTATCAACATAGTTGGAGCGGTAATACGTTTCTGAATTGTTCAACAATTGTGCTGATTCAACTGTGCCTGAGCTTCCGTTTTCCGTCTGCAGCTCGTTCGTCTGCATTGCGTTTACAGACTGAGTGCAACTATGTGGAGCTTCCTTGCCCTGCTCCCCAAAGTAAAGAACGGCGTCCGAATTGTTGAAAGTGACGCCGCGCCGCTGCTCAATCAGATCGTCGACCCTGGTTTCCTTCTGCTTTTGACTTTGCTGCACCTGTGAACGATTGATGTGCTTATTACAAACGCAACAGTGGTGGAGCAATGTCTCGACAGGGACAAAACAAGATAGCATATTTTGCCAATTGACAGCTTCCGCCATATTGTGCGGATGGGTAAACCCAGATGTTGGCGTTTGTCCACAAACTATACAACGACGTTCCATAACAATGGACAGAAGACAAAATTTGTGAGGGCGCCAAAATGTTAAATTTTGATTTTATACTCGAGGACCACTTGATTAACAAATACAGGTATTCGAATAGGAGAGGCGCATAATTATTAAGGACTTTACCCTATAAAAGAAAACAAAGTTTTCTATTACATATACATATTCTTATTAAACTATATACTATGTACCTTCATGTAGAAAATATATTTATCAGCAGTTTAACTTGTAAATATATTAATAAAATAATTTCTTTAACCGGCGGTTACTTTACAACAAAGAATTCAAACAGAACACATGGCCTGCAAGCCGCGACCTGAAAACTATCGACTGAAAACTATCGATAACAACATAAGTGCAGCATCAGCGATAATTTTGAAGAACAATAACATTCGTCATCGTGCCGTTCGGGTTTGTAGTGTTTTGATCGTTCGTGTGTACGGTTTGGTTGTTTAATTTTAAATACTCGCGGCGCACAGGCAACGAACTCAAGATCCGTTTTGTCGATCCAATTTTAGTTTATTTGCTTTTGATGACTGAGTGAAAAAAGGCGTTATGAGTTTAGCAGCAGCCGTTGATATGGCCACAAATAACACCAACTGGCAGACAGAGGATCGTGGCGACATGGAAAAATTGTTGGCCATGTTAGTTCTGGGGTTTGGTAGCCTTTTTTCTGGAATGTTGCCTGCTATAATATCAGCACATAATCGACTGCGATTTCCACTAATAACCTCGCTGCTGCTATGCTACGGTGCAGGCATTTTGCTAGCGACAGCATTGGTGCATATTTTGCCAGAGGTAAGCCTGAAGAGCTCGCAGCGAATTGCAATTTGATAACCCTTTAACACCAACAGGTGCGCGAGCAAATGAACTCAAAGTTTGCAGAAGTTGCCATGTGTGGCGGTTTTTTCATAATTTATTTCATTGACGAGTTCATACACTACTTTTTTGGCGAGGCCATACAGCATACGCATGCACCCACCTCTGCAGCAGGTAGCTCGAACCCAAACCATGCATATGGTGCAATTGATGAGCGCTCACCTTTAATAGGCGCAGATTCAATGTCAACTTCGACGCACCATCATCACAACGAAAAGTAAATCGAGTGTATATTGTTGTTCAATCGCCTAAATGTATTGATTGAACATTTGCCTTGCAGCGGTCACGATCAAATTAATCACCATCACAATTATGCCCCCGTTTCCGGCTGTGACGATGCCAGCGTGGAGGATGCAAATGCCCGCATTTGCCATACCAGCCATACGGAACCCTGTGCGCAATCCATGACCGGCACATTGGGGCTCTTTGTGGCGCTCTCTTTACACTCGGCCATTGAGGGTTTGGCTATCGGTGTACAAAACTCGGCCAGCAAGGTTTGCGCCCAAGCCTTGACATCATTAAGTTTATGCTGCCAGATTATCATATTGAATTAGCTTGCCGCATAGACTAAATATTTATTTAGATAAGAGAATCAGTTGTAAATATTCGTACATTGTCTGCTCTCTGTTCTAGGTGCTCTTTCTGCTCGGCGCTGTTGCGTGTCACAAATTTGTGATGGGCTTCTGTCTGGGTCTGGAATTATGCTCATATCCACGCGCGAGCTTTCGTTCACACTTCATTGGCATTTTGGTGTTTGCCCTGGGTGCCGTGTGCGGCATTGGTGTGGGCATGCTTATCGTTGATATTCCCGCCGCCTGGTCCAAAACTACGCTGCCCATAATACAAGCACTGGCCGGCGGTACTCTCTTCTATGTGACTGTCTGTGAAGTGATACCGCGCGAGAAGGCGCGCTGGCACACTAATTCGACTCGTCGCTGGGCGGGATTCGCGCAATTCGCAACAGTCATTGCTGGTTTTGCGACTATGTGCATCATTAACTTTTATCTCGCTGGTACGTCATGCCTAAATCAGTTAGAGCTAATCAGTAGTAGCTTTTACGCATTCACTATTTCCATTTCAGATGACTGAGAATCTCCATGGGCGATGCCCTGTTTTCAACACGTATCTATAGCACAAATGTTCTAAATGTAATTGTTGTCTTTTTTTAATGTATTATTAAGTGTCTTAGACCAGAAATGATTTTTTACAAAAAAGTGCTCTTTTTATAATATAATCGGTTTTAACATTCTTGTGAGTCTGTGATTATTGCTTAGCTGCAAAATAAAATAAACACCAATACATACATTTTCTTTATATCTACATTTATATTTTGTTGCTTTCTCCAAAGAATCTATATTTTGTTAGACTTACATGTAGTGGTAATCAAAATAACGTTTTCATGTTTTCTGATTCATATTACTATGTTTATATCAATCATAAAACATCTTCATCCTAAGCGATTTAATGTAATTGCGTACACATTTAGTTTGCTTTCATAATTTTGTTTTAAACCAATTAAAACAACATCTTTGTAACTACATATTTATATATGTAATATTTTCAATATATATATGCATATAGACAAATTCTATATATATATATATAAGTATGTGTATAAATATATATGTGTGTGTACATACTAAAGTTGAATTGTTGGTGGTATAACGCAGCAGAAATAGTAAAACCCCCGCAAAGTGCGTAATTTGATTTCTTGGTCTGATCTAGAATGCGACATACGAAAATCGGGATAGTTTAGCTTTTGTTTCTATATATGCGTCACATATGTATAATATACTATATTTATTTGTTTATAAGTATTTATATAATTTGCGTGAATCCGATGCAAGTTCCCAACTAAATGTCAAAGAAACTGTTTTTAATTTACAATCGAAACCGAAAATCGATTTGCCATAGATATTCATTGATTATACATATATATATATATAATCATGCATAAGCTACAATTCCCATGCTGATTTAAAATTCAACTGTCATACTGTAGCACTGGCAACCGAAAACAAACTTAAAACATAAATAAATCTAGTAATTAGAGTTGCTCTTTCGCCTCAGCACTAACCCCATTCTCATCCTCATTGTCATCATCTTCGTCGACCCATTCATTCATGAGACTCTTTAATTTCTCCTGCGTTCCTGTTAGCGCCTGTGGCTTTCCATCAACGTCAACTGCATCGCTGGTGCTTGGCTTCTCCTCGGTTGCATCGGATGCCACTGTCGTCGTCGTCGGCGAGCCTTCTGCTTTTTCCTCGTTATTATTTGCTGATTCCTCTGCAGCCATAACAGCTTTAGTCGCGTCAAGTTGCAACGCCTCAGATCCATCTACCTCTGGCAGCTGAGTTGGCTGCTCCTCTTTTACATCTTCTGGCTGTTCGCTAGCCACCGTATCGGCATCAGGCGCATCCGCTTCAGCAATTAATTCATCGATCAACACTTTGCGAATATTCTCCGTTTCTAAATTGACATCATCAATTCCAGTGGCAGGGCCAGCTTCAGCAATGCTTTCTGTCGCGATCTGATTATTGGTGTTTTCGACAGCTTCAGCTTCGACTGATGTTGGTGCATCCTCCTTGATGAATTCCTTCTCAGGATCATCTTCTTTTTTAACCACAACGAATTCATCTTTAACAGACATCTGTTGTAATTCATCCACATCCATTTTTACTGCTGCTTCCGAATCAGCTTGTATTATTTCGGCCGTGCTGGATGTGGCGGCTGCTGCATCTTTAGTAGCGGCCTCTGTTTCGTCACCTTCCTTATGCAAACTCTCTAGCGCCAAGTCAATATCATCTTCCGGTTCAGGTTGATCTTCGATAGCTTCTGCTGCAGCGTCTGCTGCGTTTTGTTTCTCAGTTACAGGTTCTGACTGTACAATTGCTGCTAGTTCTGTGGTCGCGGGCTTGTCATTCATATCATCCTCATCCTCGTTCTCATCCTCGGTCCAATCACCCGTCAGCTCCTTAAGCTTCTCGCTAATGTCATCGCGACGCTTTTCCGCCTTTGGCTTTAATACAAATTTTTTTAAAATTTTAATTTATATGCATTGTGTGGCAATTGCGTTACTTACTTCTTTGCTGTTCTGCTCTGTTTCCAGGTCGTGCTTTGATATTAAATTCTCGGCCCATTCAAGATTATCAATGGACTCCTTGCTCTCATCAGCCGCTTCGCTCTTTTTGCTGCTGCTCTCTACAGAACCGGTAGCGCCCAGTTCGCTATAAATTTGACTGTCATCATATTCCTCCTCTTCGGTACCCGCTGAGGATTTGGCATCGCCTTCCTGCTTATCATCGACATCGGGCTCACTGAGCACCATGACAACACCGCCGCTGGGTGCGCCAGCTTGTTGCTGATTCAGCTGTGACAATATCTCCTTGCGTTGTTCTTCGGTGAGCTCCACCTCATTGCCATCGGCACCGACAAATTTGACTTCCTGCTCCTGAGTCTGCGACTGCAGCAGTTGCTCAGAATCCGCATCTGCTTCTGTTTCGGCCTCTTCTTGCTCATCTCGGGACTGTTGCTGTACCATGGCACTGTTCGCCGGCAAGCTGATGTCGGATAAAATGCGTACCTTTTCCTCCTGTATTGGTTCCTCTTCAGCCTCCTCCTCCTCCTCTTCCTGGTCTTCATCGTCCAACTGTTCGTCTTCGTCCTGTGAGCCAAGATATTCCTCATCGGTTTCGTCTATGATGCCATCCTCAAGCGCCTGTGCCTTATGATAGCTCTTCATATGTCTGTACAGCTGCAGCTCCTGGGCAAACACCTTGTTACAATAAATGCACTGCTGCTTATTCTCATCTGTGTGCGCCTCGTTTATGTGCTGCTCCAGCTCGCTCTTGGTCAAGTACGTTTGGTTGCACATAGCGCATTCCGCAAAGTTGTAAAGCAGCGATTTGATCTGATGCTCTGTGTACATGTGGAAATGCAGTTCCCGATTGTTGCCGGAACGCCAACCACAATGCTCACATAGCGCCGGATCAATTGTCTCCTTGTGGGTGTTGATCAAATGGCGACGGAAACCCCGATATGATGGAATGCTAATTGGCCGACCATTAACGCCGCAACGCAGACACAGCCAAGGACCTGCGGAATAGGCACAGAATTAAGACAAGATATTTAGTAAAAATATGGAATATGATGCGAAATTTTGTTGATCAATCGGCTGTTCAAGTTATCTTTGAGATTAAGATATCCATTTAATATCATCTTTTTATTGGCCGGATATCATAATTTATAGACAATTAACCTGGTTTAAACGGTACGACAACTTTACACTAAAATGACAAGAACTTTGACTATTATAATACTGAGTCAAAAAAGGGCCAACACTCGTTGTACAATAGCTGGCTATAGTTCTTTAGATCAGTTTTACTTGTTATCTATATAGTTGCAATTTTAGATCATAAGAATCTCGCTTATCGGAGACTTTCGTATTTATGTATGCAACAATTTTTTGTATACTTTTTTCTGCATCATTTTGAATAGTGTGCGTTAAAAGTGTCTGCTGCACTCACCTGTGGTGTTCTCAGCGCCGAGTGCAATTAGCGCATGCATTGTCTTGCTATCAATGCGTCGCTTTTGCGCGGCCGCTGCCGCAGTTGCCGTCGTAGAAGTCGCTGCTGCTGCCGCCTGTGTTGCCTCGGCCGATGGTGGCTGAGCCGTTGTCACTTTCTGTGCGGACTTTTGCTGCTGTGTGGTTATCATGGGTTTGTCTGGCTTGAATGAAACATGCAGCTTCTTGTGTGGCGAAGTAACGCTGGCTGGAGAACCTGTTGCTGCTGCGGCTGGTGCCGGTGAGGCACGTTTGACAGCGTTCGCTGTTTTATCGACCGGACTGTTGGGCATTATTTTCAGTTTGATATTCTTGTGTCCCTTCACAATGTGTGGATATTGGCGCAACACCTCGGCTATGATTTTCGTATGATTCAGCTTCGTGTTGGACGAATCCTTGACAATAATCGTGGGCGTTTGGCTCGGCGAATCCTGCTTGAGTATGATGGTTGTTGTGCCATGTTCCATTTGTGTCTGTGTGCCGGATTGTTGAACCTGTTGCTGGGCTTGCTGCTGTTGCTTCGATGTTGATGGCTGTGGCGGCATATCATCATCATCATCGTCACCGGTGTGCACGTCATCGTACAGCATCATGTTGTCATATTCGGGATCGCCATGGTCACCATATTCGGCGGCGATTTGTTTGCGCATGCGCTGCTGTTCTGCAAACTCCTTGACCTCCTCCAAACTTGGTTTCTTTGATGGTGGCGATAACAGGCTGGTCTGTGCCGGTCTCTTGTTATTGTTGTAACCTTTGCGGAGCTGCTCAAATGGCGAAGTGGGCTCCTGTTTAACAAACGTGGTCGTCGACGCTGACTCCATATACTGTCCGCGATTGCTTATGCCGCCGGTGCGCAGTATTGTGGGTGTATTCACGCCACGTGTTGGTTGCGCATTCGTACGCACTGTGTTGCTGTTGCCTGGTATGGCACCAATACGATTTTGTGGTGTTGATACACGCTGCTGTGCCGCCATGGCATTGCCGCTGGGTACCATAGGGCGACGTCGTATACCCTTCGGACTGGGTGGCTGTCAATGGTGGAGAACAGGTAGGTTAGTTATGAATTAGATATCTAGATTAGCAACTCTTACCCTTTGCTGGCGATTCACATTCTCCATGGTGCGACGATGGGCCTCTAGTAGCTTCAGCAAAACGGTCATGTTCATCTCTTTGGCGGTGCGCAACAGTTTGCCATACATTTTCAGCTCAAACTCCAGTGTGCCCGTGTACATAAAATTGACAATGGGCACCACAACATCCGCTTGAAATTCTGCCGGCATTATGAGTGCGTCGTCAATTATTTCGCAAGTCTGCTCCAGTACATTGAAATAATCGGTGCAAGCGCTTAAGACCAGGCGATGTACCTTCAGCTGTGAATTGTCTCGAAACTGTAGCGTTAAATCGCAATAGTCCGTTTTATTGAAGAAATTCTGGAGCTTCTGCAGAAAGAAGACGCCCCAGTTGTCTACTTTCACGGACTTCACTTCACCCATATTGTTAGTTTCTCTTTCAAATGAAATGCTGTATTTTTGAAACGCGGCCTCCCCGTCGCGATGTCGTCGTCGTCTACGGTTGTCGTTGTTTGGCTTTTCTAGCGTGAGGCTGGCGCAACTGTACTCCGTTGGGAGCAGGAAATTTCAGTTTAGGACACGATTGCAACACAGCGTTGTTAAATGGAATATGAAAAACATAAAAAAACCATATTAAATCAAGTGAATTAATATTATTGTTTAGTTCTTGCACAACTAAAACGCGGCGCTCTACTGGCGTCGATTGATTTTCAACAAACATTAACTGCCCGTGGCGCGGCAATGCAGCTCCGATATGTTTGTGTATGTATGTGTGCGGATGCTAGAGATGGGTGTATGTCAGTTAAGCACGAAACTTAGGCTAAGAAAAATCGCATTTAACATTTCCATTTAACGACTTCGAATTAACAAAAATAACAAATTATATACTTTGCAAAAGTTCCATTTTAGTCAATAGAATTTTCTTTGAATATTCTATATGTATATATGTTTTCGTGTGTTTTGCTCACGCATGTCACGCTCTCAACTCTAGTATGTATGCCACATATATCTGCTTTTGATGTGTGTATGTGAAATGCAATGCACAATGCGCCTTGCTTGCACACATTGAAGACAAACTGCTTTAATTACCTATACAATGGCTTTTATTCTTGAAATGCGGTGATATATTTCTATTTAACAAATTGGCGCTAGATTCTGTTGATTCTGTTTTTCACACACGAAACGTTTATTTGCAGACACAATCGTTATCGCTTGGCTCTACAATATCGTCATTATGCAAATTGTACTTTGGAATGTATGATCAAAATTTGCACAAATATATTTTAGTTTTTTTTTTTTCATTATTTTCGTATTAAACATACATTGATTTTTTGTTGCACACTGTTTTTGCCGGACAAATTTGTAATTTTCTCCGTGAAACAGAAAAAGATGGCGTCAGAGTGACCTTATTGAAAATCCGCACTTCTCACCACCGCCACACTTTCGATAATTTCCTAAGAATCGATAGCAAATTTTTGCTTAACCAAGAATATAAATATTCGGTGAGAAGTTTGTGTTTACCTTACTATTTTAAATGCATTAAATTAATTCTGGTATGCTCACCCATACCGAAGCACATATTAAAAGTAAATTACTCTCTACTTTAAAAAACTATCAAGGCGCCAAAATGCAGCATGTGCTCCATTAACGAAATCGATAACAAACGGCTGCTATCAGAGTAGCAAAAACAAACTTGTGTTTATTTATACATAAAACTAACTAAAACAGTAAAATGAGTGCGCGGCATAGAGGCAAATCCAAGCGTGGAGCGGGTGCAAGCTCCTATCGGAACGTTAAATCAAATCACAACTGCGAACGCAGTTTCGCCCAACAGGCCAACGAACTTGCCAATTGTAATGCCACCGATAGCGACAGTTCCGAATCCGATTCGTCAGGTGACAACTTGGAGGGACTCGGTCAGCCGCCAGATTTTGCAGTAGCCATGTGGGACCTAAATCACTGTGATCCGAAAAAGTGTTCTGGCAGGAAGCTGGCACGCCTTGGACTAATTTCTAATTTGCGTTTGGGTCAAAAGTTTCCAGGACTCGTCCTCTCACCGATCGGTCAGTTGTGTGTTAGTCCACAGGATCGCGAAATTGTCAATGCTTCTGGGGTGGCTGTCATAGACTGTTCCTGGGCCAAGCTGGATGAGACACCGTTTAATAGAATGCGCAGTCCCCATCCCCGCCTGTTGCCATTCCTGGTCGCGGCAAATCCGATCAACTATGGAAAACCCTGCAAGTTAAGCTGTGTGGAGGCAATAGCAGCAACTCTCCATATATGTGGCTTTACTGAAGAGGCACGTTGGTTTATGGGCAAATTCTCCTGGGGTCATGCGTTTTTGGAGCTAAACGAGAAACTGCTCAATGCGTATGCGGCATGCAAAAGCAGCGATGAGATTCTAAAGGTGCAAAACGAATATCTGGAGGCGGAGCAAAAGGAGCGCGATAAGCCAAGGGATCTAAAGGAGTTCTATCCCACAAGCAGCAGCAGTAGCAGCAGCGAGAGTGCAGATGAAAACGAACAGTAAAACTAGAATAAGTTTTTACAAGAGGCCAAGAAGATGATTTATTTGTTTATGCAAATTCTCTATGGATGACTTTCGTTATATATTACAAGCCAGTTGTGCAAAGCAACTCTCGAATTAAAGCATTGCAGCAAAAATGTGCAATGCAAATAAGAGCTGCTTGAATTATATGCCGGGTTTTATTCATTCATCTACTGTGCATTACGCACGTATTCCGGATCAACATTGATAAAGTTTGTCATATTAAAGTACATTGCGCTATTCTTCACCAAAAACTTGAGAAAATCATGCAGATGAGCTAACAGCGTTTGCATAGCCGGTTGATCAAGCGCCGAATAGCTCAGCATTGAACCAAGTCGCACAAACAGGCGCAACAAATGAAAGGAGCCATACAGTTCCGACAGGGGCGTATCTGGATGCTTTTGCATTATGTCTGCATATTGGGTGCGCTCGAATTTGTACAATAGCTGCGAGCCAAGCATCACATTAAAGTACTCGATGATGCCGTCGAGCACATCGTTAATGGCCACCTCTTTGCTGGCACTGGTCGACTTCACCGACTTCTTGTGCGCCAAATACTGGTCAGCAATCTGCTGCACTGTCACCTTGGCAGGCAGTTCCAATAGCTTGTGTTCACGCACTACCGCATACCAGTCGTCGGTAAGATAATGCTTAAGTTCATCGGGTATTTTGATTTTCACCTCTAGCTTTGCCGTGTACGTTTCCTCGCTCTCCACACATGGCGCATCCGTAGTGGCAGCAGCAGCAGCAACAGCAGCATTTGCAGCTGTTGTTGACGTTGTCGTTGGCTGCTGTGGCGGCTGTGCTGTTGTGGTGCTTGCATCTGGTCCATTACCGGCGTTTAAGGATGAGCGCAGGTCGCTGTTGCTATTTTGTGAGCTCATGCGTTTGGCTTTAGGCGGCGCCGGCGTAGCGACCTCATCTTCTGTGTTGTCCGCCGCCGATGATTCATCTTTTTTGTCTGCGCCTGCAGCACTGGGCGTGCTCGGCCGTACCGACGCTGTGGCAGATTGTGTGGATTTGCGATTACTTCGACTAGTCGTGGTCGTGGCTGTGCTGCTGCTTGTGGTGGTGTTGTTGCTGCTATTGATAGTCTCGTTTTTAGCTGTGGGTGGTGCAGCCACCGTGGGTGTGCTGGCAGCGTTGCTGCTGGTGCCAGTTGCCGGCAAAGATGTGTTGCCATCTTTGGAGGGCGTCGACGCACGAGATTCATTGCCAACTTGCTCCATTTTCTTGGCTTTTGCACTGCCTGGCATGTAGGGAAACACACTCCATTGTGAGCATACAGTTTAAACAGCTTAAAGGTCCAGTACATACCTTTCTTGTTGTCCTTCTTTGAGCGTTCACCATACACTCGGGCAAGTTCTTTTTGGCGCTTCACGTTATCCTCATTGTATTTTAGCACACGACTCTCTGGTACCCACTCGTCCCAGCTAAGTTTCGAAAGAAAATATAGTTTAAGTAAACAAGACAATTTCCATATTAGGCACGATTACTTTTTGCTCCAGCCCGCATAGTGTATGTAATATTCAACCGGCGAACTTTCGGGCTTTGTTTTGAGTACTTTGGCTTCGTAGATAAGCGGCCCGTGGAAACATAGCACACGTTCCCCTACAAGATACATTTATAGATAAACAGCTTTGCTGCGAACGTGAGTTGGGGACTTACCATCTGCAAATATTGTAGCTGCATCAGATGGAGCCCAGCTATCCATTTTTACGGGTTTAACTTCTCCCATTTTTAGGTTGAAAATATTTGCCAAAGCGTCGCAGCTGATTTGAGCAGGTTGGCAGCCCTGATATATGTACATACATATTCCGCCGATTATTCAGGGCTGCAAAAGGCAATTCTGCCAATAATCATATGCAATTTAATATGAAGAGAATTATTTATTTACAATATTTAATGAACGCTAAAGCCTACATCACATATGTTTCACAATAATTATTTGGCTGCAGATAAAGCCGCTAGCTCCTCCTCTTCCCACGGCCGTGGACCTCGCTTGTTTGACCAATTGTCAATGTCGATGCCTTTAACCTTATCATATTCTGTTTCGAGCGTTACTTCTTGACGTTTCTTCATACTCACGCCGTACTTCTTCATTTCTTCCGGCGAGACAGGTTGCATTTTGGAGTACTGATATCTGCAAGCAACAAATACATACATACCACAAGTGCATGTAAGTTCCAAATGAGATTACCTTTCTTACCTTAGATTAGAAAACTGTTGCAGTCCAAACGAGCCGGCTACCATCGTAATTAGAAATGGTACACCATATTTAAATGATTTTCGTTTGGCGTAATAATTTAGTTTTTGTGTAAATGACATTTTTGTGTTATTGTTATGAAATGATAATACAAGACCGGACCAGGGCTGGCGATATGCGTCAGATATGTGTGTGTGCTGTCTTATCGATAAATTATATCGGTTTAAATGCGATAGGTTTGGCGGTCTTTTAGTTTTAATTTGACTGCTTTAAATGTACACAGATTATTAATTGCTTGCATTTGTGTAAAAATAGCACATTTTAAACATTCTTACGCCCTTGATGCCAATCAAATGAATCGTGTGTTTTGCCAAATTGTTCAGCTAAATGCGAATAATTTCTAATTCGCAATTGTTTTCCGGCTAACAATAGATGTTACTCTATTTTTTTTATTTACATACGACTTGGCGTTAAGTTCAAGGTCTGCATATATAGCTGTGTAATATACAAATAATTGACACTGACGTTGTTCTAAGAGCGCCAAAAAGTTTCTCACATGCACACCACGACATTTGATATGGAACAAACGGCGCTGTGTCTGTGGTTCACCTTGGCCGTTATGTAGCGACCAGGCAAGGCAAGTGGCTAGTCGCGAAGATTTCCTTTTAGTACCAAAGCTCAACCAGTTCGGGTTCGAGTTCAAGTCATTTACACAAGGAGCTACTACAACAACAACATCGATGCGACACGGCGACAATTGAGTCATCAATTGCGCCGGCGCACACAGCTGGACATCGACACGAAGAGCGCCCCTGAGACTGGGTTGGTCCGCTTGTTTGCCCGCCTGCACCCCCTATCATAGACTGCACAAACGGTCTGAGATTACTATTCATCATCTGCTGTACCCTATCTGTTGCCATGCTTCAAGTTTTCCCAGCAACATGTGGCAAGCGTCGGCTAGGCCTTACGATAAAGTCTCCATAATTTTTGTTCAATTTTCACCAAATATGGTTGCAATTTTGTTAACAAGATATTGCACTTGTTTGAGTCGCAGCCGCAAGACAAACATGTTCATGCACATATATATATTTCTAGAACTTATTGGAATTATGAAAAGTCCGTTGTATTTCGTTGTTCGTTACATTGGCCATGATTTGGTTTTTCATATTTAGCCAGTTGCTCGGGCATTCTCACAGAATACACCGAATACACATATTGGCATTTGGTTATGTTTTTGCCAAAACTTTTGAATGAAATGGATTGCGTCATTGTGTGGGTGTTGCTCGAATTTAAATATACATTTCGTATGTGCCCTCATTGCTAGAACAGAGTTTTCTCCAAAGGAAAATCCAGACTCTGTTTTTGCTTCCTTTAAGATTTTGCGGGAGCCTTATGTGTCTGTAGAAAGAAAATGATATAACATAAATATCATAAGAAGAATCATTTATAAATATAAAATATGTAAATCTTTGAGTAAAAACAATTGCAAAAGAAAGTATTAAATTTCTTACTTTACTAAACATAAAATAAAGTTATAACTTTGACATCTTTATAATAAAAGAATATGAAAGGTTGGATAAAATAATACAAAATAATAATTATTATAGCGCATTGAAGAGTTTTAGAAGTAAAAAAAGTATTGCTTTAGTTATTTCAAGTTTTGTTTTCGGAATGCTTTAAAACCACGTCAAGTTTAGTTTTCAGAAAATCTCGTTCAGATGCCAAGCGAGCTAATATATAAATATCAAATATCATTTAAAAGTATTGTCTTATCATATTTTATCATTGCAACCTCAGTTAATGAGCTGTGCGTGCTAAACAGTACAATTTTGTATCTTTAAGTTATTTATCTGCAATTTTGTATCTTTAAGTTATTTATCTGCAATTGCATTTCTGGTATTGTGACTCATGTATGCCAATTCTTAATTGTTTTATGCAATTGTGTTAATTGTATTAACTAAAAATATACTTGAATTTGTTCTAGGCTATAGCAAAATATATATATATATATATATATATATATATATATATATGCTGTTGGGAAATCTATAAAAAATGTGAACAGTAGCAAAAAAAAAAACTAGACAAAATTTATATGTACGAATGTGATTTTGTTTTTTGGCATATCAATAACTGAAATTTAAAAATAGCTGCCAAAATATGAAAGGAACAAAACAAGAAAGTAAAATCAAATTAAATAAAGATACACACACACGCACACATGCGAAAAAAACACAAAAATAATGGCACATTAAGCTTTTAAAAAAAAAAAATACAGGGAAATTTTGAAATTCTTTATTGAAATTCTTAGCGCCTAAAAACCAATACAAGCGCAGGCAATCACACACATACATAAGTAACAGGTGAAAGAGGCATACGTCGAATAGAGAGAGCGAAGGAATTTAGTTCTTGCTTCTTGCCCGTTCTTTTATTTCTCTACTTGTGTGTGTGTGTGTGTGTGCCGGGCGCTCTGTGTCTGTGGCGGCAAAATGCAGTTTGACAATACAAATTTGAGCGGGCAGCGATTTGTGTTGAGCATGCAAAACGCACGCGAGCTGCTAAGCGCGGCAGCCTCGCGTTTCTGTCAGACACTTGAGTGTGCGCTCTCTCTCTCTCTCTCTGTCTCTCTCTCTGACATACACGCACACGCACACACAGACACGGACGGCCGCGGCGCACGCACACAAGCGCAAAAAGCTCGAAATCGAAAAACGGCGAGCATCGAACGTCAGTATATTGAATAAATATTTTCAGTTGAACATCACAATCCGTTCAAGTCGCGGATAACTCCGAATAAAAGTTTTGTAAGTAAAAGGAACAAATTAAATAAAGCACACAATTTGCTAAGTACATTTCAGTTAATAAATATTTCGTTGTGCTGCTGGTAATTTAGTATAAAAAAGAAAAAAAAAAAAACATTTATCAAAAAAGAACAAAAACATAAACCAAGTGCCAAAAGTTTTCTTTACAAAAATTAACAAGGACATTCTCGAAAGTTTATTACATAATGCAAGTAACAAATAATTCAACTAATCAATGTGCTGTGCAGTATTCAGATAATAAAACCGCAAACATTTCCGAAACTATTCAAAATATTTGGAACGGTTTCGTTTCGAAAAACAAATTGAGGTTAAGCTGAACTTTGGCAACAAGCTCGATATAATGCAAACATTATTATGAATATTAAAGCCAATGTCTTTGACCATGTTCATAGTTTGCAGCCTAACCACAAGTTGCCTTCTAGAATTTCAATTAAACGCATTGCGTGAGATATATAAATAAATTTAGTCAATTGACTTTTTGGTCACAACATTTTCTCGCAGTTCATTCAAAATTCAATTGTTGGAACAGGACACATAATATATCGCTTTCTAAACACAACAATTATGCGCAAAACCAGATAAAGAATCTAGAAATAAGTTTGGAAAGTATTCTTTTCCTTTTTGCATAATATAGTCAATCGACATGCTACCGAAAAATATTTGAAAATATTCCAAAGTCGTCGGAATTTTTTCGCTGCAATGTAATTCGATACAGAACGACAGTTCCCAGCGCTCAAATCTATCTAAAGGCCAGCAAGCGTAGGCGAAATGCTTGAGATATTCTTGAAAAGCTTTTCACACTTCATATTAAGTAATATCCCATCGGGCAGCTATTGGGAAATATATGCAACAGATGCCAGGCTATATTTAGCATTGGCGAGAGCGCGATCCGCAAAAGCTCCCACAAGCTTTCAGTGTTGCCAGGCTTCCACAAATATATTGAAAAATAATATATATACATATAGATGTTTTAAAAATAGCTGAGCGAGAATATTGTATGTATAACTAGCACAGTTTTTTTTTTTTTTTTTTCATGGATAATTTGGAACATTTTGCGCTATAAACAGGTAGAATTTCTAGTTTTTGGAACACATCCGATTAGTTTCCTGAGAAGGTGTGTGTGTGTGTATTCAAATATTTGAAAAATATGTATTTTTGAAAACTTAGTTATTTTGCTTAAACTTAAACTGGTTTTGATCTGCTCTGAATAAGCTCACATAAACTTGCTGGCAAACAGAAATTTTGAAACGTTTTTGAAACATATTCGAAATCTTTAGCAAGCTTCAATTATTTATATTGCATTTCGAATCGGTTCAACAAAGTATGCCAAAGACTTGTTGTGAAGTTGAAAAATTGAAGTTTTTATTTGGACTTTAGGCTCATTTGCATATGTATGTCATTGTCATTCTTCATGTCGCCGTCATTATAAAAAATTTCAACTGATTTTCTGCCGAATAAACAAATATAATTCATTGTGTCACCTCGTTCGATACACACACACGACATGCACAACATTTATAAAGACTTATCAAAAGAAAACAACTAAGTGGTTCTAGTCGGGAGCCGCCGACTAGGGAATACCCTGAAGCCTCTGCTTCCAACATCAAATGCATATTCTATTTTCGAAGCTATATGTCAAGTTTGGTGATTTACAAAAATTGCCCAATAAACAGGATATCGATATCGATTTTTATCGATTACTTGGAAACGCAGTGTGTTATCGATTATCGACACTAGGAGCACCTACATCTAATATTTCAAGTCTCTAGCTCTGAGATCCTTGCGTTCATACAAACGGACATAAGGACAGACAGACAGACAGACAGACGGACATGGCTAGATCGAGTCGGCTATTGATGCTGATCAAGAATATATATATAGAGATGCTATCTTCTGCCTGTTACACACATTTGGATTTTGCACAAATACAATATACCCTTATAACCATTTTTAATGGGTTCAGGGTATCAAAATGTACCCAAACCTTCTGTTCATATATATATATATGTATACTATATATAGAGAGAATTCTGCCTCGATTGCAGTTTTTATTTCAAATTGAATTTTTGTTGTTGTTTGCACGCCCAAAAGCCTGGAACCAGCCAGCTACCATCTCCCCGTCCGATCTCTCTGAGCAGCTGGAATGTAAGCACAAGCTAAGTTAAAAATAAACTCAGTTGTACGAAATATTATATATATATATACATATATATAAATAATAAGAACCCAGAACGCCAGGGGCCATAAGCAGGGGCGCAGCTGACTCAATTTGTTTGGCATTCCGATTTATGACAAATTTATATGTTGGTCGGGAATAATTCGCAGGGCCCACTTCAGAAATCCCTTGAATGTGAGTCAGCCAGGTAAAAAATTGTACTCCCCGCCTTATCAATTTGACACCTATTCGCGGTCAAGAAACAACAAGAGAATCGAGAGAGAGGGAGAGAGAGAGAGAGAGAGAGAGAGAGAGAGAGAGAGAGAGAGAGACAAGAGCTTATAGAGGAGAGAGCCCTGTTGTTGGATTAAGCGCTCCAAAGGAATTTCCAAGGAAATGTATTTACTTTGGTTGCTTTAAATAAAAGTTTGTGTTCGACTAGTAGATACTCTGTACTCGAATGGACGAGCATATATTGTTGCGCTAAATCAATTAAAACTGGGTTAAAATGTATTTGTGCAAATGTAAAATGTATATAACAGGCAGAAGAAAGCATCTCCGACCCCATAAGGTATATATAAACTTGATCAGCATCAACAGGCGAGTCCGTCTGTTTGTCCATATGTATGAGCGCAAGGATATCAAAACCTCTAAGAGCTAGAGACTTGAGCCTTAGCTGTAGGTCCCTAACTTACTCCGTTTCCAAGCAATCGGCTAATTGATATTTTGCTTCTAGAATATTGTATATATATCAGGTGTCTTTCATTTTATACCTATCGCCACCTCGCCGCTAACACCGCAAAGCTATAAATCAAGTTAACCAATTTAAGTCACGATTGAAATGCAATTGACTTTTGCGAATATACAAATCTTCTACGGTACAACAAGATGTTTTGATGTTTTGACTGCACACGCAGACATATTCATGCGCGTCCGCTTCGAATTCTATCAACAGCATTGTGATTGCGACTGCTTTCTGTGCTGCTATTTAAATTCACTTTTTTTTTCTCAATAAGACTCATTTATTGGTGTGGCTGTTGAGTAGTGGCTGTGGCAGTGGCAATAATTTATCTTTATTTATTCAAACGAGCTGCATTTGGTGTTGGAATAGGGGGGGGGGGGGGGGGGGTCAGGTATTCAGGAGCTCCCGACTAGCGCCTTTTATTTGTTTATTTTTTTTTTTGCTGCAAGTTTAGATTAGCCTTTTGCAGATATGTGAGAATAATGAAGCTCATAGAAGAAAAGAAAAGAAAGAGAATGTATTGCCATATAAGAAACTAATTTTCTAGCTATTAGCTATTATTTACCCAACCATGTCCAGACTTCATGGATTTAAAGAACATTATCTGTGATAGATAGATATTTTTAAAGACTCTGAGAACGACTTGCTCGACTTAAAGATCAAGATGAATATTTTGGATATATTGACTGACGAGCCTAAAATAAGAATCTATACTATTCAATACTATTCTCTTGAAACTTGAAATAATTGCATTCATAAGCTTCTGAGTTTTTGTTGGTTATATTTTTGGATGAATTCAATGGATTCAGCAAATTTGTGTAAAGAAATTCGAACGTGACTTTCGGAAATCGTGACAAATACATTAAATTAAACATTTACTTCAGTCAATTTTACTTGATCAATTTATAGTCCCATTATATCGATCCAGAATTCTTTGCAACTCATCTCGTAACTCGCCGGATTACAGGCAACAACTAAGATCTCAGATTCTCAGATCCCTATCCTATTGTTTCGGTGCACAAGTCTGATTTTAATATTTAGTTAACGTCTTGTTGTTGTTCAGTTTTCTGGTCAATCATCTCACAGTAAATCATTTAAAGACGTAGCTCACGTTTTTCAACAATTTGTCTGTCCCCAAAATGAGATACAAGGCCAGAATGGGAACTGTTTCGGATGAGCTATACGAAGTATGCCCCGCACTTAGTTATGCAGCGCACAAACTTCTTGGCGAAACTGAAGGCATTTTTAATTGAAGAGCTACGTAAAAAAAATTGTGTCAAACATTGTTGGAAGATTTTCGAAGTGTATCTGTAACTTTCTATCGCCAGATGAAACGCAAAGCGCGGATTATGGCATCAATTTTAATTACTTTATTGATATGAATTACTCTTGTTTTCATTGCCATTTCCATTTCTAATTCCATTTCCATTTGGATTTTCCATTTCAGTGTCTTTCGAGTCTGTAGCAGTAAAACACAAAGCCAGCCACCATGGATGCCATCAAGAAGAAGATGCAAGCGATGAAAGTCGACAAGGATGGAGCATTGGAACGTGCTCTCGTCTGCGAGCAGGAGGCACGCGATGCCAACACCCGCGCCGAGAAGGTGAGCAACCAACCATGCAACAAAAGCACAAACAATAACAATAACAGAAACAACAACAATACGAAGAAATTAATTAAAATTATTAACGACTGTTAAATTGTTAACACATGCCTTTTGATAGCCATGCATTAGCCTGCACAATATTCCAATAATAATCATGCCCGATTTCTGTTTTTTTTTTTTTTTTTTTTGTGTTTTCTCACTGTAGGCCGAGGAGGAGGCTCGCCAGCTGCAAAAGAAGATCCAGACCGTTGAAAACGAATTGGATCAGACCCAGGAAGCGCTCACCCTTGTCACTGGCAAGCTGGAGGAGAAGAACAAGGCTCTGCAGAATGTGAGTACAAATTATTTCAGCTCCATTCTAAATGCACAAATTAGATTAGTGTTAAGTTAGATCCTCAAATTATTCAATTTTTGTGTATCTCCATGAGAGAAGCATATCTTGATACCAGAGCTAGTTTTGAGCTGGTCTCGTGACAGTCATAGATCATATTCCAAATGCATCTTTAACTTAACCTTGAAGCAGATGGAAAAGATTTATAAAGAAACTACAAATATTCCTGGAAATTTACAAGAATCTTATACAATATAATATAAAACTATTATATAGTGAGCAGACCCATTAAAAAATAGTCTATGCATTTTAGAATATTTGGCTTTGATGTTATAAATAGAAGCAGCTTATTAAATATAGCCAAAGAGTTCCGATTTTTTGATTATTTAATCATTATTAAATAAAAATTCTTGAGCCTTCGCTTCAAATTAAGAAATTTATCTGACAGAATACACACAAAAAATCTTTGCATTTCAAAATATCTAGTTATATGTTAACTAGGTCAATAGCTGCCTGTAGAATATTTTTTAAGAATTCCTAAGTATTAAAGTATTAGATATATATTCTTAATGGGCATTGTTTCAGGCCCAACATTAGTCATTAGTCATTAGTCATTAGCTATGATATAGGAATCCAGACAAAAGTAAGAAATACACTTGAAATCAATGCTAGAATAAGATTTATACATATATATATATATAACATATAAAAACGGTTTGGTGACAGCGAATTGGAGCCGGGTCCGGAAATTTGTGGCATCTGGTAATTTCACGGGTATTTTACGAGCTGATGTTAATTTGTTGGCACGTCAAATGTTTGGGGCAATGCGTTTTGTATGTTTGTGCTTTTAAATGCCATAAAAAGTTCATAGATTTCAAATAAAAATGAAAATTCAAACAAAAATAAAAAATAAAACGCCACGCACACGAATTTTTCTTGCCGTTGGCAACGCCTTTGGTGCGCGCTATTTTTAAATGCGTGTATGCAGCGCATGAAAATAGCTTTGGACGGGTGCGAAAGAGACGCACAGAGAGTGCTGCATGTACGTGCGCGCGCGCGCGCATGTATGTGTGTGTGTGTGTGTGTGTGTGTGTGTGATGAGATCAAATAACGCAAAAGCAAAGCCAACTGCGATGTTTTCTTTTCTATTTCATTTTCGTTGTTTTTGTTCGCTTTGCTTTGGCTTTGCCAAAATATTTGCTCGCAAAATTGTTGTTTTCTTTTTGTACAATGAAAATTGAAATAGCCGCACAGTATTTAGCACATTTTTCTTCGTTTGTTCGGTGGCCATACGCTGTCTAGTTGCGTTTCCAAATGAAAAATACGAATTTTCATTTCATTCGATTTGGCTTTTGATTCTTTCTTACGTTCTGTCGTGCGAGTTTCGAAAGTATTTCAAGGACATTTCTTTTGTTTTAGTTTGCCAATTGGCAGCGTTTCAAAAAAAGTCTATATCTAGTGTCCACAGGTAACCAGCATACCAACTGTATAAGTAAATAAAAGCTTATCAGACAACATAAATTCAAAAGATGTTGACAAATTATTTTCAATCGCCGCGTAGACATATTTTTATCAATTAACTTTTGCTGTTAGCCCTGCCCAGCCCCTATCTCTAAAATAAATAACTGTGATGATGAGATACAAACGACTCCGCTGAGTAATATGCGCAAATATGATAAAAGAAGAGAGCACAGCACGGCAATTAAATCAAACAGAAACACAAACGAAATTTACAGTTAAAAACGGAAATGAGTAAAGAGCTGAGCACTCGCTCAGCGGATAGAGACATTGGGAAAGAGACGGAGAGCGAAAGAGAGAGGGCCGTAGAGAGCGAACAAGCACTCTAGTGTGTGTGGGCGTTGGAGCTGACAGTGCCACATGCTCCTTTGCCCCGCTCCACAGCGAACGCACTGCAACACTTATACATGCACACAAATGCTTGTGCATAATGCTGACTCACTCGCACATGTGCCACACGACTGCCGCTGCCGCTGCCGCTTGGCAGGGGGCGCTGGCGCTGCCCCAACAACAACAACACAATTAGATCGGCCATCAGTTTGTCCGTCCGGCAAAAGAGAGCGCACGCCGAGCTGAGCGCATGGCCACAGAAATTATCGCACAACACTTTCAAGTACAACGCCAAAGCAAGCAGCAAGCAGCAAACAACCGCCGGAGGGGCCGAACAACCAGCAATCGAGCCGAGTTGAGCCGCCGCACGCCGCATAATTCTAATAAATTCAATAATAATTCAAATTAATTCAATAATACTACCGTCAATTGAAATTCAATAGAATAGAAAACACTATTTTTATTTAATTAGCTTTAAATAAAATTTTAGTGCTTTTCAATTACATAAATTAAATTACAACAGCAACAACAGCAGCAACAACAATTGACGTCTATGCAAAAACGTGTAGCGGAAGTTGGCCAAATACAAAATTTTCCTTAGCTCATTTCAACGCGAGGCTGAAATTTGAAAAAAAAAAGCGAAAGAAAAAAAACTGTATTAAATCATCAATAAAAATAGAAAAAGACTCAAACTAACGGTACTGCGAGCACAGCTGTTTGAGCAAAAGCAACAACAAGAGCTAAACAGCACGCACCAAATCACAAACAACAACAACAAGAAGAAGAAGAAAAATAAAAAATAGCCGCAACATATAATTAATATGTACGAAAAAACATTAACAATAGGAACTACAAAAGTTAATAATGCATATGAGTGGCAAAAAGTGAGTTACGGCAAAAATCAAGCAGCGGCGGCGGCATTAACAAAAGCTAAAACCAAACAAAAGCAACAAAAGCCCCAGCATAGCAATAAAAAAACCTTAGCAAACAGTGCGAAAAATGCAACAGAAACACAAGTAAAACATTTGAAGCCGGCAAAAACAACAGCAACAGCAACAACAACAACAATATTGACGACTTCTTTTAAGCCGGCAACGCAAACGCCGCTAGTCAAAAAATACGTTGGCAACGCGGCACGTCGTCAAACGCTTGCGCACCAAATAAAGCGTGCACACCGCCATCTATTGACAAGCGGCGGCAACGATAAGCAGCCCGTTAATAAACAGCGTAATAATAAACAAACATGTACATTAAATCGTATAGTGTAGAATGCAAAGCATATTGTTGTTGCTTATGCACACAAATATGCTTTACATTCTATGCAAAATAAGACAAAACGTGCACAAGGCAAATGTATGCGTAATGTGCAATTGCAATTGCCTTGTGCATACTTGTCTGGTCACACTTTTACGCTATCGATATTGATATATTGCAAATCAGCTGATTTGCACGATATTTCAATTAAAAAATATCGATATCGATAAGTAGTAATATCAACAATTCCACATAAAGCAGGTAGCAGCGCAGCTGCTGCAGGACAGCAGACAAAAACAACAAAACAGCAGCAGCAGCAGCAACAGCAGCGCAATAAACGCATAATAAATGCAAATAAACAGTTCCATAGCCATAAAAGTGATAATCAAAAGCAAAGGCAAAAAAAGCAACAGCAACATAGCAAGCGTGGCAACAGCGGCCACAAAGCGACCGACGGCAACAAATCGGAGCTCTCCTCGCGCTGGTGCTCCATCGAGGAGCAGCTAAATGTGCTAGATAATCTCCTCCACTACGATGAGCAGGCGGAGCTCTATTTAGCACAACTCTACCACAATTATCAACAAGTCCGGCACTCGACTGTTGGGGACAGTGACTCGGAGATTTCGGACAACTGGAGCTGGAGTGACTACGACCTGGACATGTCACAGAACAACAGTGTCGACGACGATGCGCTGTCCAGCACCAGCGGTGCGGGCAGCCACAGCACCAACAATTCCAATACTATGCCACTGGTGCCGTCCTCTCTTAAGCGGCGCGGTCATCAGCATCATCCACGTTTTGCGGGTACACGTCGTCCCAATGTGCCCAATGTCCAAGAAATACTGGCAGCCCTCTATCGCGGCGACTCCAAGGGTGTGCTGTCCAATCTGCGCGGTGAGACGCCGCCGCAGCCAGAAGCAGACGTGGAGCCTGACCAGTCCGCCAATGTGGTTAGCCGCAGTACACTCAGCCTGCCGCTGAGTGAATCGGTGACAAACTCTTTGGGCAGCAACAGCCCAACACCGACCGATGAGAGCAGCATGCTGGACGAGACAAACGCAACGCCAGCAGCAACAAATAGCGCAGCAGCCGAACAGGAGCCACTGGCTGCCACTGTCAAAAAGAAGAAGAAGCGCGACAAAGGCGACAAGGAGAAAACGGAGCGCAAAAAGAAAGCCTCATCGTCCTCTGGTGGCAAACGTGAGCGGAGCAAACGCCAGAGCGGCAGCGGCGGCATCATGGACGTCAGCAGCGACAGCATTGCCACAGATCTCAGTGCGGGCGCCATTGATGAGGGCATTGTGCTGAACACCGAGGATGAGGATACACAGGCGCAGGAATGGTCCAAGCTGCGCTGCACCAGCGAAGCGGCTGAGATTGTTGCCGAACGAGAGGCGCGTCGCAACAAGGGACGCTGCGCCGATTATCCGGGCCTGGCATTCGGCCGTTCCATCTTCAGCTCCGACACAATGATGAAGTTCAACATCATACGCAATGAGCTGCACAACATCATGAATACGCAGCTGAAGCGGGTAATTAGCGTTGTGGGGCGGGGAAGGGATTGCTCCAATTCATCAACATATGCACATGTATTTTCACTAATCATATTTATATTTCTTTCTCTTCAAGCAGCCTTTGTTGTCGACCCTCAGTAAGCGTTTTAGCCAGAGCAAAAAAAGTTAATAATACAAAGAGCAAAACATAAGTTTGGTTAGGTTCACAGTCAATTTTGTCTGCTCAATCTATGAATGTTCCAATTTTGTTCTGTCTTGTGCTCTTTTTCGCACACACACACACACACACACACATGTATATAGTATATATATATAAGTTGTGTACATTTGTATTTGTGTGCATTGCAAAGCGATTACGTCGCCGTCGCCGTCTTCGCTTTGCTTTCTTTGCCGCACACCGAATTCTGTTTCTGCTTTAACCCTTCGATGGCCCACCAAGTCGTTTGTCATTGCAATTGTTTTCAACTTGTGTGTGAATCTTGACCCCGTTCTTGCATACAAACATATGCATATGTGTTGGCTTAATCGCTCGGCAACTATCGTGAAGGTTTTTCTTTCAACGTGTTAAGCTCACTAACACACACTCGCACGCACATACATACATATGTACATACATATGCTTTACCATTGCTCAGCGCAAAAGTATTTCAACTGTTTATTCAGCTAAAACAAAAACATGCATATTTACTTAATTGCAGTACAATTGTTTAATTAGTTACGCAATTGCGCGCTCTGTCTTAGTTAGCACATTGCTTGACCGGTTAACGGTAACTCGTGAGCACCTGTTGCTCTCTCAGCGTGGGTGTCACTAGCTCTTGCTGCCGCTCTTTGCCTCTCTCATTTTATCTGTGGCGGCGCCCAAAAAGGCAGCAGATAAAAAAACAGACTTAATATTACAACTGTTACAATTATCTGTGTTTATACACACCCCCATACTCACAGACACACAAACACACAGAATTGTTTTAGCTTTTGGACTCCATAAAAAGCAACAGTTGGCTTACAGCAGCTGAATACTGAATACTAAAAAAAAGTTTAATACGTTTTCTGCCCAAAAACGTATTTCTTTTAAACTTGGCTCGCCAATTTGACGCGCACCACTCAATTATTATTTATATTAAATTAAGTGTATTCTCGGTGTGCACACACTCTCGCACACACGTTCTCTACGTGTTCTCACAGCCGCTGCAAAACGCCAATGACCTTCGTGCGACAAGTGTGTACCCCCCACTTTGGTAGTGTGTGCACATTTGTGTGGCACTGACGTTTACTTTTAATTTCTTTTCAATGCCGAACTCTGTCCAAAAATGGGCAGGCGTGCTTATTTTAATTGGAATTGACCATTGGCAATCGTCGTTTGTATTATCAGCAATTATGTCATTTGCCAAATACAAATTGTCTTTCCACTTGTTGCGCGCGGTCTATCGTTATCGATATCGAGCTTTGCACAATCGCCAACTGTCACAGACTAGGACCACATCCGAACGCAAATAGCAGCAGCAGCAGCAGCGGCAACAACAACAACAACCTGCTGCAAACACACAACACGGCATCGCACCGACGACTGATTAGTCATTTGTGTTGCTCCTGGTTGCGTGTTGATAAGCCTGATAGAGCACCGGCATTATATGCTGTATTATACAATTATCTTGTTTGTTGGCAGGGGTAGGTGCTGGATGGGGAGGGTTTACATAAACGCATACACATACACACACACACACACATACACGCAGATATTGATGACAGGTCGCTTACTCATTTTTACTGGCATATGGGCAATTGGTTAGCCGTCTTTGTCGCTCGCAATTTTGCATAATATTATTTGCATTGGAGAAATAAGGCAAAAATCTCAAATATTTCTTCACTAATTAATGCAAACAACAACAAACATGTAGACTGAATTTTTAGCGGCTTTAACAGGTTTTCCAGCGGGAAAGCGGCATATACACACTGGCTAGCGCACTCGCACTCACACACACACGAACATATGAAGAGCACGACACATAGGCGAGGCACTGACAGACTGGAAAGTCGCACACATACAGACAGCAGTCGTCTCTCTCGCACAACGTATAAACCACCACCGCCGCTTTGTAGACATGAGCATGCAAAGTGTTTCAGCGGTTCATTTCCAGTTACGTACTCACAAATGCCAGTCGCAGACTCGCGTCGTTTTATCGTCTTCGTTTCTCGTGTGTGTGCGTGTAGTTTCTGTGCAGCTTACTGCTATTAAATATCAATATTGAAATAATTTAAACATTTATTTATAATTCAACTATAAATGTGTATCAAGTGCGCCAGAATCTAATCGGCCCTTCACACAAAATCCAAAAAAGAAAAAGAAAGAAGAAACGGCGACAAGCAGTAACAACGAAGCAAACCAGTAAAAGAAGAAAAAGCAGTAGAAGAGAAAGAAGAAAAAAACCGGTGGTTAGCGCATACTCTTGTCTGTGTCGTCGCTTCGTTCGGTCGTTCGTTCTACTACGTGCGTGTGTTGGTGTTTCACAGTTTTTAAATTAAATATAATTTTTGGTGCTGCCATATAGAAAGAAATTTGTATTTTAATAAATACATAAAAAGCGGGCAAAAGCCAATATAAGTGTGCTTCAGTGCCAACTGTCAATCGCCAAGAAACCGGCCAAAAATTATATCGCATCTGCCTCTGCTTCTGCCGCCTGCCAACGCAAAGTCCAAGTGTAAACACTTACCAAACACCCACAAGTCCAAGTACAAGCACAAGCACAAAAATGACGACCAGCATTCCACAAGGTACACTTTTGGATGTACTCAAGAAGAAAATGCGTCAGACCAAAGAAGAAATGGAAAAGTATAAAGATGAATGCGAGGAATTTCACAAGCGCCTACAGCTTGAAGTTGTCCGACGCGAAGAAGTAAGCCAACTGGACATTTCAATACAAATTTCAATTCAGTCAAAATTATGTTTTTTCCGCTACTTTTGGTATATACATTTTGCATTAGAACCAAACTATGGCTCAAGATAAGTCCAGCGCAAGCATTTCTGAGTAGTGCCAACGTTTCCAATGCAAATACATGCGCACCTATACAGACACAAATACGAATACAAGTTCACTGACAGACTGTCACAGAGCTACGCTCACACTCTTTGCGCGCTCTTGCGCTCTCTCCGTTGCTCTCTTTCTTCGTCTCTCTCGCCATATTTGTGTTGTTTTGTTCCTCGTTGGTTTCCCTGTCCATTGGCATATCTTTTGTTCAAAATTTCAATTTGCTTTATATATTTTTATAGGCGTTTGTGTTACTTTTTAGTTTTCGTACATTCTAAAGTCTTGTTATCTGTGTGACCAAATTCATTCACCTTTCAAAATCTTTGCTCGTTGCGTTGTCTTATCGAAACGGGGCACAAACATGCATACTTACCTGGCATTCTACATTAGCATATCTTGTGTGTCTCAAAACACAGAAGACAAAATCTAAAGAGTGATATGTTTTGTCGCTGAGAAAGCACACGAGTAATAATACAAAAATGAAGAAGCGAAACCGGCTCTTCTATTCAGTTCATAGCCATAGTGTTTAGCTAGCGGTGTTCTAAATTCGATTAATTATGATTTTTAAGCCATGGCCAGCAATAAATGGCTTCTTTACGTTAACATTTCTATGTGTGTGCTTCATAATTTTTGGGCACAAGCCCCCATACAAACGCTTCTATATGCGCTTAATTCGAATCTAATTAGACAATTGCCCGAGCGAACCAAGGGCTGTAAATACTTATGTATGTGTGTACATATCTGTGTGTGAAATCACAGTTTGCACTGCAATGACAACACTGTTGACGTCATATTTTATTTTTGTTTGTTTTTTTTTTTTTTTTGTTTTTAAGTTGGTCACTGGCTTTAAGCCTTAAATTGTTGAATAGCTGCAAAGGAATATTTCAATAATGGAAATTTACAATGCTTTTTAAAATGTAACGGCACACCCCAAATTTGAAATTCGTTTTCATTATACACATTCTCATTTAGTAGTGGATTTCGTCTGTGCCTGTCATCTGTGCCCCGTTAGTTGTTAGTTTTTGCGCTCATTTTTCCACGCTTTTGTCAAGTGATTGACGTTTAGTTCAGCCCCTTCTCCTTTCAGTTGCACAAAAGCTAAAACAAAACAAAATGTGCTTTGTTGTTATATATACATTATTTGTTTTTTTTTTTAAACAATGCTTTCAATGTCATTTGCGTGGTCCCAGCAGCGTTTTATTCTCCCTCTCCCCCAACACTCTCTTCGCTGCGTCTTTCCTCTTGCCGTTGTTGTCATGCAATTGAACACTGATAATTTCAATGCCTCATTGTGACAAATTGGTTTTGATTTGTTGCCTTTTGGGCAGGCACATACTCTCTCGCTCTCTCTTTCTCTTCTGTTAGAGTATTTCGTAATGAAATGTCAGACTGTGCGAGATTACAACACACACACACACACACACACACACACACACATGTCAGCAGCTATACACGAAAGCTGACTGATATGAAACGTTAGCATATTTTATGCTTGAGAGATCGCTACTTTTACGCTTTACAAGTTGGATGTTGTCTACTTTGTGTTTTTATGGCTTATTTTTCGGTTCATAATTAAAAATGCATCATATACAACATTTAAACACACCCTACGCACTCGAACGTAGCCGCTCGTCTTTCAATTTTTGTTGTATTTTTGTTGCCACGGCAACTTGAGTCAAATAAAAAAATAAAAAAAAAATTCAAGGTGTGTGTGACTAAGCCGTCAACAATTTTTTGGTTCACTTTCTTACCCATGCAGCTTTTGCATACTCATGATTTTTATTATTTGTTGTGTTGTTTCTTTCATTGTGCATTTTGCCGGCAATTTTTTTTTATAAATTTTGCCCGAAACTTGTTCTGTTTAGCTTTGCAATTTATGTTAGAGAAGCTCTAAAAAAAAAAAAAAAACGTTTAATCTTCAATACGTTTTGTTAATGAGTTCAAAGCAAAGACGAAAAATTTGCCTAGTTCCATCTCTGTTCCACACATTTAACGTACAGCGACTCCCGCTATTTTTAAACGAAACGAAACTCAAGCTGAGTATTTTATTTTTTTTTTGGCATTTTTTTTTTTTTTTGCTGTTGCTTCATCAACGGTTTTGTTGTGTGACTTTCGTATGTGTTTTGGAAAGCTTCGCTGCTCCCCCAATACGAAATGCCTTTTATCGTTAAACTTACGCTACATACGTGTGAGTGAGTGTGTGTGTGTGTGTGTGTGCGCTTTGTATGCTGCCTGCCTATCGACTGTTTGGACGATGACGTAAGCCAAAGCGGCGGCGCGGTTGGTTTTGGTTCCAATTCATAATCAGACGATACTTTTACGAAGCGCGTTCTAAGCGTCACTCATACAATATATGTATGCACATTATATATATATATATATATATATATATATATATATATATATGTGTTTACTGCAATGCAATGCAAAATTGGCAATATAGCCATCTCGCGCCGAGTACACCTGGACCGGACTGCCTTGTCCAATTGTTGCCGCTTTTGGTCAAAGCCGTTTTTAGCCATTTTTGGGCGTGTGCTGTGTGCTGTGTGCTGCACAAGCATTTAATTCATTTACGCTTTTCAGCATTTGTCATTCCTTCTCTCTCGCTCGCATACTCTGTAAAAGGCAATCGCCGCATCTCGCATGCGGCGGCGTCAATGTCAAATATTTTCCGTTCTTTAATGGGCATATGCTTTATGCTTCGTGTTCTGTTTTTGGAAAATACGGTTGCTGGGAAAAACTGGCTGTACAAATTGTTATCATTTTTGGCAAGGTTGTTTTCAAATGCGCTGACGTCATTCGTGTGGCTCGATGAGCTGTTGCCTATTTTTCGGGGTTGCCAGCATGACAACAAGTGTAATCGATGTTCGCCGTGATGGCACTCTCTACACTCCCCCCTTAAATTGCCCAAAATTTGAACTGTTATCGATAGCACACGCAAAGAAACATTTTGTTGCCAGCTTTGGTGCGTTGACGCCGGCGACCTTGTTTAATTAACTGGCTAAAACGCTTGCTCTGGTGAACGATGCGACAATAAGGTGGAAGGAAAAAAGAAGAAGAAAACTCTAATTTCAGATGGAACACAAGCTGCGGTCGAAAACAATTAAATTTCTCTCTATATATACCTATGAGATAGTTTCCTTTATGAGAGAGCGCAAATATTAGGGACACAAATTTGTATACCAAAAGTAGCAATTATAAACAATTAAATTCGAGTGTATTTCATGCTTTAGTTGTCAAGTTCTTAAGTTAATATTAAGTATTTACTTAGTTTTTAAGTTCGTTTGTACGTTTGCTATATTGTCTTGTTCGTTCTTGTCGAACATCGAATATTTGTTTTATAGGCCGAATCTGAGGTCCTTGCATTGAACCGTCGCATTCAATTGCTCGAAGAAGACTTGGAACGCTCTGAGGAGCGTCTGGGTTCCGCCACAGCCAAGCTGTCGGAAGCCTCTCAGGCCGCCGATGAGAGCGAACGGTTAGTACAAATTTATATATATATTTTTATCTTTTGTAACCTTAAAATTGTCAAATTGTATACATAATTAATGAATTAGTCTACAGCCTATATAAGCAAACTTAAGTATCAAGTTCAAGTTCTATCTACGGTAAATCTATATATAAAATGCCCTTTTATTATTGCTTTCGAAATTTAGGATACGAAAAGCGCTTGAAAATCGTACAAATATGGAAGACGACAAAGTAGCTCTATTGGAGAACCAATTAGCGCAAGCAAAATTAATTGCAGAAGAAGCTGATAAGAAATATGAAGAGGTATAATTATCTATTGCTTTAAAATCGAGAACTCTCGACGTTAGGGTATTAGGGTTAATAGGGTTATCTTCTCGTTGTTTTCTTTTCTATTCTATTCTATTCCGTTCTATTTGAGGTTAGGTGCGTCGAAATTACCGTTACTAATTAGGTTGTGGGTTAAATACTGCGCTCTCTTACAAACTCCAAACATATATAATATTCGTAGGGTATGTTTAAGAACTTTTAACGATTCTTGTAAACAGCTTTTAGCTTTTAAGCTCAACGTCGACCGCAGCCAACAACAACAAAAATGGATTCATTGAATATATTGTATATAAAAATATTGTAAACTTAGTGAATATTTACGTATACACATATTGTTATTTGAATATGGTATGTGTCTAGCTTAAAATAGTAGTTGTCTTAGTAATTCGCTATTTAATGCCTGTGTCTTGTATGTGAAAAAAGCTAAAACATTGCCTTGTGCCTTTATATCTGTGTAGAGAAAACAGATTTACACTTCCATCAAAACAGCTGGAGTCATATTTTGGTAAAAGCTTCATAAAACTTGTAAACTATGCATTGGAGAGAAAAAACGACAATATTCCAACTACATAATAGTTTTGAAACTCTACACGTTATTCCATAAATATGCGAAAATCTTCATTTATACAAAAACTCTACAGATTATATTATTTTAAAACTCTACAAATTAGAAAAAATGTCGAGCACAGATTATATTATTTTAAAACTCTACAATTATTAGCAAAAATGTCGAGCAAAAAGAAACTCTACAAAGTTTTATATAACCAAACAAAAAAAAAAAAAAAAAAAAAGCACACAAAGCACTGTTTCAGCTATTCGTACCTTTGTACTATTTCTGTATTTATTTATTTTATTCACTGAACTGTTCAACTCAACAAGCAACAACCAATTCTTGTTTCTTTTGCAAAAAATTCTCTAAATCTTGATCTGTACTATGGAACACAACTTAACAAAAACCAAAACCAAAACCAAAATCAACAAAAAAAATATCGTATCCAAAATGTTATCTATCAACATAATTCTTGTTCGAAACTGTGTCAACCTCTGTGTACTACTGCGCATCCATGTGTTTGTCATAATCTACAACAACAACAACAACAACAACAACAACAACAACAACAACAACAATTCGACACTTTCTACACGGATGTGGATGTGATGACGTCGAATGATTCACCTGATTTGGGGCTGTACCAATATAATTGATATGACAAATCATCGATATAACAACTTGGTCACTGTCTTCTATGGGCTTGGTCGTAACGTGGTCATCCTGTAATATATTAAATATATCTATATATACGTATATGTATATATAGTGCTCGCAAGATTCTTGAGAATCGCGCCCTTGCCGATGAAGAACGCATGGACGCACTTGAGAATCAGCTGAAGGAAGCGCGTTTCCTTGCTGAGGAGGCTGACAAGAAATACGATGAGGTGCAGCTAAATACCAATTTAATAAACTTAAGCAACAATAACAACAACAGTAACAGTAACAGCAACAGTAACAGTAACAGTAACAGTAACAGCAAACCATGTCACCCGAACACAACAATAACAACCAACAACAACAATAACAATGCAAATAGTACTGCTGCTGCTGTTGGTGAAGCTTCAACATTGTCCTCCACAACACCATCAACACACAGCGAACACAACAATAATGATAGCCACAAACCTAATGATACTTGATCCGTCTCTGATTTCTATGCCAAAAGCAAGTTGTATTCAACTTTGGTCTTAATTGAGCCTAGATAAGAATTTGGCACGGGAATCGGCGGCTGCGAATACAGGTGCTGATATTCAAAAACTTGTGCTTAAATCGGTGACAATGATGATGTTAATGATGATGATGATGATTATGATGTTAATGATGATTAAATGATGATGATAAAAGTGCAGCTATATAGCTATAGAAATGCTGGCATGCCGTTGCCTTAGCCGCCCGTTAAACGATATACTTATCTATATATACAAATGCTATATACATACAAAATATATATATATATATAACAGAAAGAAGAAGAACATAGTTAACTGTATTAGTCGATCCATTTTATTTATGTATATATATAAATATGTATGCTGAATATGAAATTTTTTTTGTAAGAAATGTAATGTCTGAACAAAGTCTAGAGCAACATATGTGTATGTCTTTTGTATAAAACAAAAACAATAACAAATATAGAGCGATATGTAAAGTAAATGTTAAGCGATCCAAATACAAATTGTTAATGTACTCAAAATGTGCTAGAAAGCAATGAAATAACGATTGATATATATCTATATATATATATATCTATATATGTAAACATATCCCAATTGGTAAAACAGTTTGCAAATCATTTTAAATTGGCCCGTTAAATTAATATAAATTCAATATATATTTATACATTTTTTCTATTATATATTTGATATTTCGAAAATTTGGTTGGGTTTATATTTGAATTTTGATGTAAAAATTATGAATGGGAATTGTGTAAAGCGTAAGCTGATTCTAAAACAAGTCCACAAATATGGCATACAAAGCAAATATGTAACACATATAACATTTAATTGAATTATAACATTTTTGCAATAAAGTTAACAATGAAAACTACTTATAAACATTTAGTTCTGACACGTTGGAGTTGTGCAGTAATTGCTTTTACACTCGAAGCTGTTGTACATTATAAAAAGAGCGCATATTCAATGAATTTAGGTCTCAACAGAACATATTTATAGATCGTTTATAAAGAAATGCAATGATAAGTCCTGAACTTGGCAAAACATTGCTGAGGATGTGTTCGTAAAATCAATAGATAAATCTAGAGAAAGCAGGGAATTGCTCCAAACGAACTTTATATAGGTCCAAGAAGGTTCAAGTCCAAGAAAATATATTGATATATAGCACTGGCTTAGCTCAACTTATTATATAAGCTTTTTGCAACACGATTTGCCTTGTAGCTCAATTTATTGTGTTAGCACATTTTTTATTTTATTTTTTTTTTTTATTTTTGCCCCAACTTGTTGCTTACGTGTTCCGCACGTCAATCATATCGGCTAAATAGAGGCTATTGATAAACTGCGAGAAACGATAAGCAACCGCCTCGCTATCTATCTGTATACGGCAAATACGGGTATTTTGTTTCGCAGAAGCTTGAACGGAAAGCAAAGCAGAAGAAGAAATACAAATTGCCAGTTGACTGATAAGCGCTCTCTTCGAGAGCGAAATGGGAATTTGGAATGGAGCGTGTTGCATGGGCCGTTAATTTTTATATTTAGCGCGCTCGGCGCAATAGTTGGCCATCGTGACATAAGCAGTTGGGCAAAAAAAAAAAAAAAAACCCCCCCCAAAAAATAAAGCAACAGAAAAGAGTGTTGCAAAACTCCTCGATGATGAATCGAATAACTGTTTGACCCAGGCAAACGACACTCACTCACGTATGCATACATTCGCTTATGCGTAAATGTGAGTATGTAAGGCCTCTGCTTGGCTCTGACTCATATGACTCATCGGTCGGCTGTTCAGATTATGCGTACGACTCTCTTTAAGGAGGTTGCTGCCAGGTTTTTCGATGCGTTTTGCAGGCCTTTTGGCCTGAAACCTGAACCAGTGCCGAGCTGAGCTGAGCTGAATCTTATTTGTGAAACCTGCGCAAGGCGTTCGTTTTAAATAATTGTATTCGGCGTCGTTTCAACGCTTTTGCATATGACTCGAACAGGAAATTCAGTTTTGGTTAGCGTGTAATTAAAATCTATAGAAGCAGCGCTTCTCGCATATCAAAATACACACGAATCGCCCAGCTGCGGCGCCAGTTACCAATTTGGCAAGGCTAATTTCCTCAAGCCGCTCTCTATTTTAGTAAAATTCATTTAACTTATTATCTACACATGTTTTTGGAACTTTAAAAGTTGTAATCGCGCTTGTTAGTCATATTGTTGCTTGGCCAGCAACACGAGAACATCTTTTGATTCCGTTTCGTAGCAGTCACGATTTCCTGAGAGAAGCCAAATATTTGTTGTACTGTTTGCCTAAAGTTCACAGAGAAACCTAAAGTATATCCATAAACGAATCTAATTTCCGTTTCAATAGATTATATAATATAATATGATATAAACAGCAAAAGTAATCAGAAATTTGTTTATAATGTACAACTGCAGCAAATAGAAAACACAATTCCATCAGCTTGTTTTTACCCCTATAAATAACTAGACTTTTAAGCACCCATGCAAATTGAGTACATTAGCAAGTTAAGGATAGCTTAAAGTAACTAAGTCACAACGATAAGAAGCACAAGTTATCAGACAGCAAAATAAACAACAAAATACTCACAAAATACACGGAAAAATAACAAATAATTTCACAATTATTCGACTGTTTATTACTAAAAAGCAAATCCTTTCATACTGAAAACGTAACCTGTATATTTCATCAAAACAATTGTTAATACCAAATTTGTGTAATATGAATTGACATCAAATATTAACGCCTTTTTTATGTTCTTTGTGTATATTCAAAAACGACGACGATTGTAAAATTATGTATAAAACTCAACAAATGAAATCACAAACATGCATATAAATATAAATGAAAGGTTGCCCGTAAATTGGCCATGGTTGAAGCTGATTTGGAGCGTGCCGAAGAACGTGCCGAACAGGGTGAAAAGTACGTTAAAAGTTATTTTCAAATTTCAGTTAAATATTGCGCCAAAGCTTCCGAATTATTGTGCCTAAAACAAAATTAAACAAACAGTGTGGCCATAGTTATATAAGTTTGTTTTTTGCAGCGCTGTTAACTAACAGGTTAACCCTATGTTAAAAACAAAAAAAATACCAACGCAACCTAACCTTATTTTTGTTCAAAGTGCATTTTTGCATACTTTTAGTTTCTTATTATTGTTTTTTTCCCCTTCGTTTTTCTTAGCTAGCTAGCTTTGCATATACTTTTTAAAATTGGTAAAAAATGTGAATATTTCTATAAATTTATGAATGTGTGTTTAACGCGCATGTTTTCTAGTTTAGAAATAATTTACGCAAAAAGTTCACCACAAGCACAACATATGTATTCACATTTTCTGCCAAATGCAATTGTAAACATAAACGTTAATCAAACTAATGGAAATACCCTTTCTTATATACGCTCAATGCCTAACCCACAATGCGATAACTGTTGCCGTGTTTGTTGCTATGTCTGTGTTCTCTAATATCCCGCCTGCCTGTTTATGCCCCGCCCGCCCCGACTGCTGTTAACGCCTGGTAACGCCTCGCCCGAAGGTGGCCAGAAAATTAGTGCTCATGGAACAGGACCTGGAGCGTTCCGAGGAAAAGGTTGAGCTTAGCGAAAGGTTTGTCTTGCTTTTTCTGTGTTCAAATACTAACTGCACTTGAATTAAATTCAATTTTGAACGCAATCCAAACGCCAGTCAAAAGTTGACAATATGTTTATTTATATATTTTGCATAGTGTTGAAAAATACCAAATAAAAAAGGTCAAAAATTGCCCTCGGGCAAAGAAAACGTAAATAAAAAGTGAAATCGCGCCAGTGAAATGTTGTCGAATCCAACAATTGTTGTTATAAAAAATATTTTTTTTTTATATTTATTTATTTTTTTACTCGAAATACTTGGCACATGTTACTATGCAGACCTTCGTCTGTTTGGCCAGTCATGATTGGGCTGTTTCCCATTTCTTCTACTCTTCTGTAGCCTCCAGACTCAAAGATTTGAAAGTAAAGTGTCAACTTTTTTTTAGTTTGTTTCTTCATTGTTTTTTTTTGGCGTTGGCGATAAAAAATTGTGTACAAAATGTTATTTAATTACCGCATGAAACGCGCTTTTTGTGTTCCCATGAGGAAAAAGAGAGAAAAAAAAAACAAACGATCGAAATCTATTTGTATAAAATATCCGTCTAATGTGTTTCTTTTTTTTTTTTTGGATTATGTGTATAGCAAAATTGTGGAGCTTGAGGAGGAGCTGCGCGTTGTCGGCAACAACTTGAAGTCCCTGGAGGTCTCTGAGGAGAAGGTTAGTATGAAATGTTGCGATTCATTGATATTAGTTCATTCTATATTTTGTGCTCGATCTCGATCACAAATTGACAATTTGACATCATTAAAATCTATATATTTTGTATTATTTACTTTTACATTACAACAAAACCATATATGTATACCCCTTATCCTGTTACCGTTATCCCATAAACAACAACAACAATAAATAGGCCAACCAACGTGAGGAAGAGTACAAGAACCAAATCAAGACCCTGAACACTCGTCTAAAGGAGGTAGATACAAACAACAAATTTCTCATGCAATTTGCTAAAGGAGTTTCCCAGAGCTGTGGAAATGCAATCAAAACCAACCAGCGATATTTCTGTTACATTCTGTTTTATATATTGTTGTTGTTTATGTTATTTATATATATTTATCTATATTGAGCGCACATGACCGCTCAAAGGCCTTCAATAGCCACTGTACAACACTGGTGGCTGCGCGTGCAATCGCATAAAATGTCTACCGACAGTGCAGCTTGTACATGCGCGCCCTTGAATATGTTTATTCTGATATATGTTTACTAATTGTTATTTATTTTCTATTTTATTTTCATATTTTGTTAATACGCTTCGCTTTAATGTTGCTGATAAACCAATTATGGTTGTTTATATTCTTTTGATATATAAATAAAAATAATTTGTGCACTGGATTTTTGATCAACACAACCAAAACGTCTTAAACTTGCTCCCCCACAACCCCGCTCCCTCTGCAACGCCTCCAATTGTGCATGCATGAACAATTTATGCAATTTATGTTATGCCTAACCCAAACATTTATTTCCCACCAATACAACCAACGACCACAAAATAAACAAATTAGGCTACACAAAAAGAGGAAACCTTTGAAACGCAAATCAAAGTCTTGGATCATTCCTTGAAAGAGGTATATGCACAATTGTATACTTTAGATTTTACAGTATTCGTAAGCGGTTAAAGATTAATATTTGTGGTCTCTGGTGTTGGTAAACGCATTAATTTTAATCTTGTTTTTATTTTAATTTTTTTTTTTTTTGCAAAACGAAAAAAGAAAATATTAAATTGCACAAATCGTTATTCTCAATTTTAAATTAATTGTACATAGTCGTCACGACAAATTCGTTACTCGACATTTGATATTTTCTTTTTAACAAAAAAAAAAAAAAAAAAAAAAAAAAACTAAACAATAATAGATAAAAGCGCAATTGCCCAAACGTCTTGGAAAAATACAACAAATAAATAAACAAGCAGAAATTGAAATGTATATCAATAGCGTGCATCATGGCAAGTATTTATATTTGGGACGTGTGTGTGTACATTACTTGAAAATTGAAAACAACTTTTTGTGCATCAATTGCAAATGACCCAAATACTGACGTTTTACAACACTGCTCCCTTATGGACATCTCAGTACTCTCGTACCTGCTGCTGCTTCCTAGTAGCAACTGTACCCAAAACATTTTCAAAGAATATTAATTGTGATTGTTTAATGCAAAACGACTTGAAAAATAATTAATTAATTATAGAATATTCGGTAGATATTTTATTGCCAAAGCACAAACAAACACACACACACACACACACCGCACAAAAACACGCACTTCGCACACAATAATGATGATGATGATGATAATGATAATGATGTATGTCCTAAGCACTGTTATTGATATACCAAATATTTGTTGTATATTTCTCGACGTCTAGGCACGCGAAAATCATAAAATTGTTGAACAGGAGCTCATACAGTTCAAATTAAATGTAGAAACTGTAAGTCGCCGCAGCATAGAGTATTCGTTTTTTTTTTTTTAATTAAAATTCTGCTGATGTTTAAAAAAAAGTCGATATAGAAATTTTAACAGCATTTCGAATTGGCGCCCATTATCAATTTGTTATACATTTTGTCTTTTATGCAGTGACTGCGTAGCGTCGTACAGAAATATTTGTAGTTAATATATTATCTACACTCCCGTAATATTATTTAATTTGTCAAATTTAGGTTTTGTCTAAACAAAAACACCCTCAAAAAAATAAATAAATAAATAAAATATATATATCTAAAAAATAAAGTGTCTACAAGTTTGTAAGCATATTTATTAAGTGATCAAAATTGTGTTATATTAATTGTTATGATGTTTATTGAATGTTATTATCTATTATCTATAACAACACACATTCATTTTATAAAATATTTAATTTAATCTACATACACTAATACTCATTTGTTATAGAAATTATATACTTACCGCTGGTTTTGGTAGCAAATGTTGGGAAGCTTCTTTTAATTATGATAAGCGTAAAATTTGCAATTCCATTGAAACGCAAAGAATGTAGCATTTTACTTTACAACACTGGCGTTTCAACAGAGTTCGAATGTTAACTAACATGAACAGTGCGTGTGCTTAACAGCTTTTGAAAGTTGTATTGTTCATGTTATGTTATATTTGTAGCAATATTTTTGTTGCTACTTGTATCGATGTTTACTAATATAACTTAATTTTACCTTCTATTTACAAACACCTAAAGGCTGAGGCACGCGCTGAATTCGCTGAACGTTCCGTTCAGAAATTGCAGAAGGAAGTCGACAGGCTCGAAGGTATGTCTGTTAAAGAATATTTTCTTATTTCTCTAAGACTTTAAAAATAGATTAGAAAGTGATAGCACATGTGATACATATCTTATTATATTCATATATTTGTAGCAGTATTTCAATTAATTGCAAATATACAAATTGTAGTTAATTGAGCATTTTTATTTAATAGAATACAGTTTTTCACATTTTTCTATATATATTTACATATTTATAAGTAGCTGCAAAATTAAGTTCCTTATTCCAAACTGAAGTTCCTTATGTTAGTCCAGATTTAAATTGATCATTTTTATTTCTATACCAATTAATATATATTTTTGTGTTTATTTTTCATATGATTTTGTTCGTTGTTGTTCTTAACCGAAAAAAAAAAAAACAAACAAATTACAACTTATGTGCCGCTTGTACGCTCCCCGCCCGCCTCACCGCCTGCGAACCGCCAACGCCCTAATGTTTATTGTTTATTTTTTATGCATGCCTCGTGTTGCTGTTTTTGTTATTGTTTTAACAAAAACAAAAAAAAAAAAACAATTTTAATAAAAAAAAAAACAGACGACTTGTTGAACGAACGAGCCAAGAACAAACTGCTGCAGGAGGAAATGGAAACCACTTTACATGATATACAGAACATGTAAACAAATAATTTGCTTATGTAAATTAACTAAACTGCCTGCTTTGACGTCAATACAGAAAACTGGCGCTTTCCATATTATAATAATAGAAACACACACACAAACACACACGCAACCACACACACACACACACATACAGAGACATTCTGAGACACACAGGACAACACCAAGTGTCTTCCATGCAAAGAAAGAAAGAGTGAACGCCAATTTTGATAAACTCTAAAGGAAAACGTTAATTATTATGCGGTAAACTCAAAGAAAAGCAGACAAGAAAGAAAAGAAAAAATATTACCATTAAAAGATACAAAAAAGAAAAAAAAAAAAAGACAGAAGAAAAATGTTCTTTTGCAGCAAACGCATTCCAAATTTACACATGTTTGCATAGATGCATGCATACTTTCAAGCAGTGCAAGCCTGTGTGTATTACGCATACACGCTTGCATACTTTCAAGCAGTGCAAGCCGTTGACTGAGCGCTGTCCGCGCTGCGCTGTGAATGGCACACGCTTGGTCGCTGTCATTTGGAATGGCAAATATGGCGGCACTTTTAACACTCGATGCTTTATACAAAACTGTTGCAATATTTTGTTTTAACATTTTCTTTCTTTCTTTTTCTTTGCTTTTTCTGCCTATACTTTTTTTTGGTTTGCAAATTAGTTTACGTGTTATTATTTATACAATTCGTATGTAAAGTAAAAAAGGAAAGATTTGTATTTTTGTCGCCAGCTTAACTACTGTATTAATTATGCTAATATATTTACATTGTTTATACAATTTAAACAAATCGTGTTTGCAGAATGTTGTGTAATATTTGCTTATTTATAAGTTGCCACGCCTATTATTTAGAAACAAATTCAAAGCAAATGCATAAACAAATAAAATCAAATACAAACAAAGACGACAAAAAAAAAAATAATAATTACCCGCACACAGCGCACATCATTCCACATCTAAGCATTCACAATTAAACAGTTCTTAACATCCTTCTATTTAAATATGTATTTGAAATTAAAAAACGAAAACAAAAACAAAAACAAAAAGAAATATTATTTGCCTCTTCGCTAAATTCGGCTGAAAATGTTTTCTTGCCCTGGTGAGAAAGTTAAAAGGCAAATACGAGCGTAACATTAAATGTCATTATAACGAATGAAATGGAAAACAATTTGATTTATTTACGATTTACATAAATTAATTATTTATATTTTTAATATATACATACATATATATTATTACATACTATACAAATACAATACCATGCTGCTGCAATTGCACAAATAAAGTATTTTTCAACATTTCAACTTTTTTTTACACAACAAAAACAAAAACAAAAACCAAAAGAAACAATTATAATAATCCAAATAAATAATTAACTAAAAGACGTGACAAGCGAAAATTGTTTCGTTCTACTAACCCAAGGATTTAGTGTTTCCCCCAGTTGTTGTTGAACATTGTTTACCCAAAATCGGCTACTTGGATACCAGAGTTAGCTAGCCATAACACGTGCTGCCAATATTTGCACTAATCCAATTTTTTACTTCTTAATAACACTGACTAACCAATGAACCGACCACTTAACCAACAGACGAGATGATCAACGAGAAAGAGCATTATGCAATCATTAACGATAGCTTGGACTTTACATTTGTCGAACTGATGGGCATGCCGCCCTTCTATAACGATCGCTACCCCAAGCCGCCCACACCCGAGCTAACCGAAGAGGAGATTGCCGCCAAAGAGGCGGCACGGCAGGCAGCCGCCGCTGCTGAAGCTGCCAAGCTCGCCGGCGAGGAGCCGGCTCCAGCTGTCGATGGGGAAGAGGGTCAGGCGATCGAAATTGATGCAGTCGAAGAAGCTGCTGTTGCCATTGCTGCGGAGCCAGTCAAAGAACCGACGCCACCACCGCCGCCGCCATTCGATTATAATATTGATTTGCCGCCCGAGGGCGCCGAAGTGCCATATGTAAAGAATTTCGAAGCAGGCGATACGCCGCCGCCAGCGGAGGCTGATGCAGCTGCTCCAGATGCAGTAGCTCCCGTAGCTGTCGCTGCTGAGGCAGCTCCCGCTGACGCAGCTCCTGCTGAGGCAGCTCCTGCAGAGGCTGCTCCTGCAGAGGCTGCTCCTGCAGAGGCTGCTCCTGCAGAGGCTGCTCCTGCAGAGGCAGCTGCCGCTGTTGAAGCGCCGCCTGCTTGAAACAAATCGAACATTATTTCAAATAGAAATAGATCAAAAGAGGGATCTCGTTATGGTTAAAACAAATGATGAATTGTGTTTTCCTCGTCAAATTCACTAACATCATGAAAAACCCATCCCCAGCAGCCTCCCAGCACCAGCTCCCAGCCTGTTCGTCCCGCCGACTAAATCGTTGCTTGGAAAAGCATTTTTTTTTTAATTTTTAGTTTTCTTAGTTTGCGCTTTTGCTTCCTTTTCACACTTTCAATATCCACGCCTCTTTCTCTCTCTCTCTCTCTCGCTCTCGCTCTCGCTCTTTCTCTCTGACTGCCTGTAATGCTCTCTCACTGCCTCATTACGCATCGCGATTGCATTCGAAACATCTCAGACGACATAATCGTCGAAACTGAACGCTACTGTCTGATCGGGGACAGCCTCGACGAGGCGTTCCTGGACCTGATCAAGGGCCTCGAGCCATTCTGGACGGTGCGCAATCCAAAGCCACCCACACCCAAGTTGCCGACACCGACGCCCGAGGAATTGGCTGCCATGGAGGAGGCCAGAGCCGCAGCCGAAGCGGCCGCCGCTGCAGCGGCTCAGGCTGGCGAGGAGGGCGTCGAAGGTGCTGTTGTTGCTGCCGTCACGGAGGCTGGAGTGCCAGTGGCAAAGGAACCGACACCACCACCAAAGGAACCGACTCCACCGCCACCACCACCACCGCCATTCGATTACAATATTGATTTGCCACCAGAGGGTGCTGAAGTGCCCTTCGTCAAGAACTATGAGCCACCACCACCCGGCTCTGAGCCAGAGCCAGCACCAGAGGCTGAAGCCGCCGCACCAGCGGCTGAAGGTGCTGCACCACCGGCCGAAGGAGCTGCACCGCCGGCTGAGGGAGCTGCGCCCGCGGCTGAAGGTGCCGCACCACCGGCTGAAGGTGCAGCCCCACCAGCTGAGGCAGCTGCAGCACCACCGGCTGACGGTGCTGCGCCCGCGGCTGAAGCTGCTGCTCCACCAGCGGAAGAAGCAGCGCCACCAGCTGAGGCGCCAGCCGCCGAAGCCGCTGCCCCGGCCGCCGAGGCCGAGGCGCCACCAGCCTAAATCAACGAATATCGATCATCGGTACCGATTACTGCCCCTCCCCCGACCCAATCGATATGCTGCTCAAGACACACAACTGCTACAAAATGCTGCCCTGCTTTTATTTTTAATTTGATGCACGTTTTAAGAACAAAAAATACTCTTGTTCACATTTATTAAAAATTTTAACCGAAGCAATGCAAAAAAAAAAAGAAACGCTGACTGTGCTTTTTTTTTTAGTTGTGCTTGTTGCATTTAATTTTGATTTTGAATTTTAACAGCTAGCGGCGCACTGCATTACCGACCAAACACGCTGCCGCTGACAAGCAGTGCAACTGCTGTCATTTTTATTTTATTTTTATTTATGAGGTAAATATAATATTTAGTTTTATTTAATGTTTTGATTGTCAGCCAAAATGTTACTGTCTATAGGTTTTTCTGTTTCGTGAAAGGTTTTCTTCTTTATATATATATTTATTTGTAAACTTGTGTTTTGTATTGTATTGTATTTTCATTTTTATTAATTTAAATATATATTTTCTCTCTTATTCCCCTGATTTCGATTTCGCTTATGATTTGGCAACATTGAACAGACGACCTTGTTTTGGAGAAGGAGCGTTACAAGGATATTGGCGACGATCTCGACACCGCCTTTGTCGAGCTCATCCTCAAGGAATAAGCGCTGCTCCATTGCCCGCCCCAAAGAGCCGCAGCAAAATCTATTCACACTTAACGCACATTTATCGTCATGTATTTCGTATTTTGTATTTCGTAGCATAGTTGTAGGCGTCCTGTAGACGTATTTTGCTTGCAATTTGATTTTTGTGTGTGTAGCGTAGACTAATGTGTGTAGATTTTGTGTAAAGCCTTTATTAAATTATATGTGACAATCGCATTGTGTATTTGTTTGACTCAACAAACTTTATTTATCATTTGTATTCACAATTTATGCAATAAACTAAATGAAAACTTTATTAAATTCTTGCGTATTTCATTATTATGCTTACATTCAATCGCCGCATTCGTAGACGAGGTCAGCAAAGGTAAGGAGAAGTACAAAACCATTGCCCAGGAACTGGAATACGCCGATCTCAACAGTTATTAAGCTTAACAATAACAACATTAAAAGAAAAACAAGTTCAGCCTGAGATTTACAAACGGGAATGCGATGCCTCTCAATATTCAGCTACGAAACATTCTGTTTAAGCATTCCAAAGAGATCTAAAACATTTATAATAAAGCAAATTTTTAGCAATAATATATATACATATATACTATAAATTTCAAAATGGATGGATTTAGGGGAAATGCTGATTAATTTTGAGTGAAAAACAAAATACTGCCTGTAAAAAAAAAAATTGAGGCGCATCAAACCACAGATCCCAAATAGCAGACCTTAATTTCCATTGTTCAAATTCTCTGAAACCCACCAGTAAATATCTTATAATAATATCAAAGTAGCTTCATGCACCGCCAGATTCACACCTTTTTGCAGCTTCAAAAACAGTCAATTTCATAAATTATTTAATTTATTTCATTTTGCTTGCAAACTAGTTGAAAAATATATCTTTAATAAATTGACAATTTTCATGGCCTTTGTACGAAAATGCAAATTAAAAAAAAAAAATAAGAGAAAACAAAACAAAATGATAATTAATAAAATGTACACACTTAGCTTTTGTAATTCTGAAACATACAAATTCAATATGTACAAGAATGTATTAATAATACAATTTCTCAGTTAATAAGCGTTTATATTTTTATGATAAATAAATGGAAAAAATTCTTTTGCATACAAAATACACAAAGAAATGTTTTTATTTAAATATTCGTACAATTTGTTGACCAATTAAAGGATCAATGTACGAATTATTCTAAAAACTTGGTTACAGTGTTGAATAATCTCACTGACAAGTGTTATTTAACGGTTATTGACAACTATAAATACATAAAGCAGCTGTTTCTTGTATCATTTTTAGAAAGTTGTGCTACACTGGAAGAGGTTTTTGTATTTCAAAATGGGTTCGAAGAATTGTTGATTAGTTTCCATAGTTTTTGGCTTAAATCGATTATTGTTTAATGGGGAAAAAGCGCTAAATATTTAATAACAGTAAATTAATAGAAAATAATGTCTAATTCATGTTAAATATAACTTTTGAGAATTATTTTTGGCGACATTTCGATTTTAAATAGCTACGAAAAGCAGATGAATTATATGGATTGTTAAATAAAAAAAAAATGATTTTTGATACAAAAAACTTGACCTTCAGCAAGCCAACAAAGAATAATATAATTTTTGTTAACAAGCATTCAAACTAGTTTACAAACCGCAAGATCATGCATCTAAAACTAGCTATTTTTTTCCAATTAATGGGGGATCCTAGCGGTACGTAAAAAGTGCTATGCTCTTTGCGAGCCTACATATCACACTTAAAGTGTTTAAAAAGCCTTGACTAAAAATCGATATTTATCGATACTTCATAAAGTGTTCTGCGCATGATATACGCAAATATATGTATATCTAGCTTCTAAGGTATTCATACAGACGGACATGGCTAGATCGTCGAGGCTAATCCTGATCAAGAATGTATATGTATATTTTGCCTTCTCTCTCTCTCTCTCTCTCTCTCTCTCTTATATATATTATTGAATCGACTAACAATTTGTGTATTCTTTTTAATCCAATTATGGTTATAGCCTCCCCCTCCTTCCCCCCACCACCTTGGATGTTCTTAAATACAACCTTATTGTGGGCTTTGTAGCTCATCAAAGTTTTTTTTTTCAATTGTTATTTTTTTTTTGTCCACGTCACATTCAAATAGGTTGGAAATAGGATTTCACCGTGTGAAAATAAAAAAAAAAAAATTTCTCAATATTTATTTACTCAAAATAGGTTCTCATCTTGTTAGC